AAAGTAGGTGGAAGTAGCAAAGAGTCCTTATGTGATGGGGATAAGGTAGGAAGTGAAACAAAAATTGGTACTGTTTGATCACCTCAAATTACTTAGGGGGTGTTCTATAATGTAAATGAGAAGTTGGGTAGTGTATTTCCATCCACACCATAGGTGAGGTGTATTACCACACCCCAATGGTAGTTGTTCTTAACCTTTAAGAAAGAAGTGTGGATTGAACCATAGTACACCTACATAAGCATTCCACAAGGTGTGGTGCATTTCAACCCACACCTTGTGTTTCAATTCCATACATTTCACCCACAACTAAGCCTGTCAATGATACTAAAAAGTTTAGGGCCTGATTCGGCATCTGATATGATTATCTTGAATTCGGGTGATGTATTTATTCAATTAGATTGGATTTTGATGTTACAATCCACATCCGATTAATAATTGGATCAAATTCGGATTTGACCCCGTCCAATATGATTAAAATTCGAATCCAATTATATTATAATATTATTCATTTTAATATATAAATTTTATATATTATATTTAGAATTATAAAATATATTCTATATATTAGACTTAGCAATTGAGTTGGGTGGGTCGGGTTCAAGTTGGGTCAAGACACTCTGGGTTGCTTTTGGGTCGACTAAATTCGGGTTGGGTCAAGACCCATGGGTCAATTCAGGTCATCCCAAAAAATAACTAAACTTTTAAAAATAAAGAAAAAATAAATGAAATTGCCAAAATTAAAGGAATTAACCTTATTATTCCAAAAATAAAATAAAATAACTTAAACATTTAACAATTCAAAGAGTAAACAATAAAGAGTAAAGACTAAATAGAAAAAATTAAAGAGTGGAAACTTCTAACAATGCATAAATAGTCCCAATTAGACCTAACAATCGGGTCAACGGGTTGACCCAACCTAGCTTTTTTTCCGAGTTAGATCTGGTCAAGTCATTCTCAAATTCAAGTAGCTAACTACGAGACCCTAACCCTATTTTTTTCAGGTTGGGTTGGATTGGGTCAGGTTCGTGGGTTGGGTCAACTTTTTGCCAAGTCTAAATAAATTTAACATCCTATTTGATTACTAAGAACCTACACTTGAATGTGGTTTGAAATTTAATCGGGTTTAAAGACTCAGATTCGAATTTGAATCCTAACAGGTTTGGATGATATTCGGATTTAATTCGACTCCGCTAGGGCTGTTCACGGGTCAGGTTGGTTCGGTTATACAATATTTTGGCAACTGAACCGAACATTTCAGGTTGGTTATTATGTCAACCGAAGCTGATCGAAAAAATAGCATAAACCGATTTGTAAAAATTATGTCTAATGATCGGTTTGGTCGGTTTAAACCAAACCAAGATCTCCATTAATATGTTATAACGTTGGATACTTTTTCCTTGTACTTTTGCATTTTCTCTAGAAATGATATAAAAAAATTGAAAATAAAGAAAGAAAATCATTATGAATCCTAGAGTTTTAGGACAATTGTTTTTACAGCAATCATCATTTGAATATTTTATTTAAATATTAAAATAAAATTAATGAAATGGTATGTCATGGGGATAGGGGCAAAAAATAGGCTTAGAAGGTAAGGGCTAGAAGCAAGGTTCAAAATATCGATACGCCCGATACACCGGTAGGGGCGTATCGAGTGATATTGATACCTTTTTTTACTTTTTTTTTTCAAAACCAATTTAGGGGGCCAGTTTATGGCTCCTCCACCCCTTGAACCGGTCAGACCCCCGATACACCCACTGTAGGGGCGTATCGAAGAGGTCCCGGAATGATACATATTGGCCTGTATAGGCCAATACGTGTTGGTACTTTGAACCTTAGCTAGAAGTGGTAGCTCATATCATTGTAAGAAGTGGTTTACGGGAAAGGGAAATAGGACATTTCATATATGAAAGAGAGAGAGAGAGAGAGAGTTCACTTTTTTTAACGGCTATACTATTTCACACTTTATATAGTCATTTGGGTCGGTTTTACTAGGTTTATAAATTCATAAACCATAACCCAAACCGATCAATTAGATTATCTATACTTTTAAACCGAGGTTGATCAAAAATTTGAGAAAACTGACCAACTTGGATCGAGTTGGGTCAGGTTGGTCAGTTTGGTCGGATTGGCCCAATTATTGAACATCCCTAGACTTCGTTATAAATTTTCTAAAATATATAAAATTAAAAATTATTTATTTTTAAACTTTTATATATAATAAGTCAATATAAATCTAACATACTAAACCTATTATATATAAATTCATCTCTAATATAATATATAGAATATATTTTTGTAATTTTAAATACAAATATATAAAATTTATATATTAAAATTAATAAATATTATAATATAATCAAATTCTAATTTTTAATCGGATTGGATGGGGTCAAATCCGAATCTGATCCGATTTTAATCAGATTGGGCCTCGGGTTTTTGAGTATCATTGATAGGCCTAATTACAACCCTACCTACAACATGTGAGGTGATCTATGTTGTTAATAAAAAATGTAATATTTTATCTTTTAGTAATATACATAATAAAATATATTAGGTTGTTAAGAGTACTAATTTTATATACAAATAATAATTAATAAAATGTATACACATCTAATTAAAAAAATAAAATATACACATATTCAATTAAAAAGTGTATACAACATTAAATATTATTTATCAAGAAAAAGAAATATTTTATTTTTTAATAATATACATAAAAAATATGGAATATATTTTTAAGATAAAACACCACATGCAAAAAATTCCATGGAATCATTCCAGGTAAAAAAAGTCCATGGTAGAGTGGACCAGTCCACGATATAAAATCGTGGATGAGAAATTGGTCTATGGTGTGGACCGATCCACACGGCCAACCAAACACCTCAAGACAACATGGTGCATTTCAAAACTCAATATACTGTGGTCATACCACGATACCGAACATCCTCTTAATTTATGTTTGTGAAACTGGGATTAAGGCCTTGTTCATTTACGAAGAGGCACTCGGGTTACTGGGTAAGTGTTTCCTAGGGTAAGTGCATTTACCCATGTTCTTTTTTGTTAAATTTATTTAGGTAAATGAGGCTTCTCAACTTTTTCATGTCCTTTTGCCTCACCCACTATTCGGAGTAAGTGATTAATTTTTCTATGTTTTGTCAATTTTACCTTTAAGCCCAAGTACATGCTTTTTTGGATTATATTGTTTTAATTGGTCTTTTGACATATTATATTTTGAGCATTTACTCTCCACTTGAGAAAGTTAATTTTTCCAAGTGAGAGAAGGGGAACACTTCCCCGGATAAATAATACCTAAGGAAAATATATTTACCATTGGTCCCACTTAAACTCTGAAAAAGAACACAATAGAGTCAATAATAGAAATTACAATTCCATAGGCCTACTAAAATGCACCAAACGAAAAAGACCTAAAATTCACCCAAGATAAAAAAGAAATCCACATGGAATAGAACGCATGCAATGAATAAACCAATGGAATTTAACAGTGGAATTACTATTCCATAGGCTCTACGCTAGTCATTAACCAGTGGGAATTCAGTTGCTTCATCCATAGGCTCTAGTCAGGGAATGACTAGTGGAATTCATGTCCCCCCCACCCCCCACAAGGGGCACCCCACAATACATCCCAGCCGTGTATTAAGAACATCTCTTGATGGCAAGTACAAAAGGTGATGAGACATCATTGGGAGATATTCCCAATACACGGCTGAGATGTGCTGTGGGACATTGTGGAGGGCTGATGTGATCCCTGACCAATGATCCATAGGCTCTGTACTAGTCAAAACAAGCTTGCTTGCTTGTGGGAAAGCCAGCAAAAGTATCCACTGTTATTTTCATCAATCCAATCCAGCCCATTGGGCTGGGGTATAATGCAAATAGTAGAACTTTGGACATCTTATAGGCTGAAGAGTCATCGTACTAGCCTAGCCTAATCCCGAACAAACGAAGAGTACAGTTAAGACCTTCATCTATTTCTTTGTTATTCTCTTTTCGTGGGTGTTTCGGCGCCATGTAGGTGCCGCATCAGAAAAAGTGGTGTTTCATAAAACAAACTCTAATTTGTTATCATTTTTCCTTAAAAAGACGATGCTTTAGATCACGCTTAAGAAATCAGGAAAGTATGGTCTGAAGCAACGCAACATTTAATGTTTTCTCAGAAACTTTGTTGCCAGTGGTGTAGCCTCAATGTGACATCATGTTAGACTTTAAATAATATGATCAATGCTAAAAACGGTTCTACAACATTAATATCAAAAAAACCAATGTTATTTTTTCATAAAACAGCCTATATGACAACACCACTTCCAAATAAATACATGCCCAATAATATTTTCATGAGAAAATGGTGCGGTATTCCCAACACCTATGCCAAACACCTATTTCATCACTCAAACTCAATCATCAAGGGTTTCATCACTCAAAATCATCAAGGGTGTAGACGAAATTCGATATGATAAGAAAAAGTCGCAATATCTAAACATCTAATAACCAATCAACCGGTATCATAAAAGTGCTCACCAATAAGCTATTCATCAAAACAAGCAATTAAGCCCATGCTTATTGGTTTAGAAATGAAATTTGATGGTAGCTAATCAGAGGGACTACACAGATACATCATCTAATAACCAATCCGCGCAATGTTACCTGACGATACTCCTACAACCCTCACGATCGACTCCATTCTCTATAGGGAATCCACAAGCTTATTCAGACAGTAAATAACAAATTTGAAATCACCGTTACTTCGACTTTCCGTTCGAGTTCGGAACTACAGCCACTGCCATTGGTAATACTGATAATTTCTAAGGGTATTTTCGTCATCACGGTACCATTATTACCTCGTAGCGACTAAGATACACACGTAATAACACGTGTCATCATTTTTGCAATCGCTGATAATAGGTGGAGTGCGATGTACACATGTAACAGGTAATGGTGGGCCGCTGGGCCTTTTGCAGTTTACACAATTCACCTAACGGCTACGATATACCGACAATATTCTCCAACCTGAAAGTTCACCGCAAAACTAGCGACTCTGACTGAAGTACCAGATATTCATCTTTGCCGGGTCCATATTCAACCTAAATTCGCGATTACAGCTGAACTCGGCGTCTTCCGTCCACATCCAGTATGGCCACCGCCACTGTACTCTTGCCTTCTGCTTTCGCTACAGCTCCTCCGATTCCAACAACCAAAACCCTCCCGATACGAAACGCTTCTTCTTCTAAGGTTTATCTTCTTCGATTTCCTTCATCATCATCTTCTTCTTATTCTTTTTCTTCTAAGCTTACGTTCCGAAAGGGATTGATAAAGTGTAAAGCTTTAAGAGAAACCTCTCGGGACTCATTCAATGGTCGAACTGTTTATCAAGGAGTTTACGGTCCTTGGGCCGTCGATCCCTCGGACGTTCGTGAGGTAATGTTGATTATATTTCCCTTTTTATTTATTTTTCCTTTTCATGTGTTGCTCTCCATTGCAATTACTTGTTCGTAATCAAAGAGAGAGTTGGTTTATCTGACAGGTATTTTGATGGGTTTGGTCTTTTTTTCTCAAGTTTTGTATTAATAGACCGATTGCCTGTTCTGAATTTTCTGCCGGTATGATTTGGATTTCACTGAAGTTTTCTTAGAGTGGTTATAAGAGCGTTGCTTTTGTTAGTTATAACGACCGTTATTTCTGTTAATCTTTCAATGTCAGAACGGGCTTCAGTTCAGTACTATAGAAAACAGCATAAACAAAAGCGCTTTCCAATAGCCTATGCCCCTATAGAGAGGAATTTTGATGCAGTGTGAGAAACATATTTGAGTTTTTTGGTGAACAGATATGTTAATAACGAATTCCTTCGACGTGGATGGATTGTGGTTTATACTTAAGAGCTAACCTGCTATAAATTGTAACAGGTGATCTTATATAGAATAGGTTTAGTAACAGCTGCTGTGTCATTCATCATCGCGGCTTCTACTGCTTTTTTACCAGATGGGAACATCTTGGCAGATATTGTAAAACAAGATCTCGATTTGTTTTATGCACTAGGAACCGGGGGACTAGGCCTATCACTTTACCTAATTCACATTTATGTAACCGAGATTAAACAGACACTTCAAGCATTATGGGCGTTTGGTGTCATTGGATCATTAGCAACCTATTTCAGCCTCGCTCAACCTGTTGGTATAAGCTTGGCAGAATACGTTGTTGAAAACCCAACGGCTGTGTGGTTTGTTGGGCCTCTCTTTGCTGCACTCACGGGGCTTGTATTCAAGGAAGGTGAGGTTAACATCACTATGCTTCCCAAAATGTCTCAATGGATCAATATTCCTTTATTTTCCTGTACTGTAATATGTATACATTATTAGAATGCTCTAAGAGTTCCTGTTTTGTTTTCTGTTGGAAGATTTTTGTTATCTTTGTGAGCTAAGAAGAATTATTGCCAAACTAATGGGATTTCTAAAAAAGGGTATCAATATGTGAAATGTGCAAAACCAATTAATTCTATTCAACATAAATGTAAAAAATCAAAATTTTGTGAATGCTTTTTCTACAACAATAAATATAATTTTATTAGATATTTAGTCCTGTATTTTTGAGATCTCAGAAGGTTAATGCAATGTAGCAAATGTGGGGAAATTTATGAAGCAGGTATCTAGTTTCTAATAGATTCATGAAACAAATGGCAGAACTTGTTCACTTCCTGGCCATGATTAGGTTGCATATTGGACAGAGGTACAGAACAGAAGGTTTAAATCTGAGAAACCATCCGAACAAATACGGTTCAAAATTGCTCCTTCTCAAAACTTTCCTATAAACTGTTTTTTTTCTCTGGTATATCACATTATCTACTGGATAGAGGTACAGAAGATAATGTACTGCCTTAACATAGGTCATGTCAACCACAATTGAACCAGGCTAACCCCCTATGGTTGAGGTATGTGGTCTGTTTCTAAGAACAATGTAATTTCTTCATTTGAAACTTTTGGATTTCTTCTCAACTTACCAGGGAGATGGGATCACCTATGCATTTTGAATGCCACCCTTGAAAACAATTCTATGGAATTCAAAGTTAAATTTTAGATCTAACTTATTCGCATGCCAAAAAATGGAACTGGAATTAGATCTGAAGATTCCTTATGGATTTCCACATTTGAATACCAAAGGTTAGTTAGAAAGCCCAAGGACAAAGGGGGTTTGGGAATAGGAAATATTTCACTTAGGAACTCAGTTCTATTAGGAAAATGGTTGTGGAGATTCCCCTTTGAGAGAGACAGGCTGTGGCACAAAGTCATTGTGAGTGTTCATGGTTTGGATGGAAATGGTTGGGATGCAAAAGTTGCCCCTCATGTTTCCTCAACTTCTCCTTGGAAAGCAATTTATGAAATTTACCCAACATTCCTTAATTCCATTCGTTTTGATGTGGGCTAGGGTTATACAGTTTGTTTCTGGGAAGACCTTTGGGTGGGAGATAGTCCACTTAAAGACCTTTTCCCTTTGTCAAATTTCAAAGGGGAAACAGTAAGTATTTTGGGTAATCCTGTCCCAAATGGGGTCAATTGGAATCTGGGTTTCAGAAGGGGCCTCAGGGAAAACGAAAACGAATGTGCCTCTTTAGTTCAATTGTTGGATCCAATAGGACAAGTTCATTTGGACCCATCCTTGGAATATTTTAGAATATGGAAAGTCTCCTCAGATGGCCTCTTCTCTTGTTCCTCCTTTTTTAGTGGTGAAAGAAATTTGGAGTAAGCCTATTCCCCCAAAAATTCAAGCCTTCTGTTGGGAATTTTTCCTTAGCAAGGTTAATACTTGTGATATGCTGCAGAGAAGAAGGCCTTTTGCTTGCCTTTCTCCTCACATGTGCTCCCTTTGTAAGGAAAGTGGTGAGACCTTGGCACATCTATTATTATCTTGTTCCTTTGTGCATCACATTTGGGAATTTTTTTTATTCTCTTTGGTTGCAGGTGGGTTTCCCCTTAAGATGTGGCATGACTTATCAACCGAGACTTTTTGAGACAACCAAAGAAAAGAATGAAGGTTATGTGGAAAGCTACAAAGACAACTATTTGTTGGGTGATTTGGGAATAAAGGAATAACAAAATATTCTTGGACAAGAGTAGAACAATGGAGGAGGTAATCAACACAATTAAAGTTAAAGTAGCTCATTGGGTAAGATCTTTGCATATCTTTTAAGATTTCTCAGTCATAGACATTATAAGATCTTGGACAGAAGTAGCACAATCTTCACGAGTGAAAGAGAGAGTAAGGATGGAATGGAAACCTACAGATGGTAACAGAATTAAACTGAATTTTGATGGAAGCTCTTTCAAAAATCCGAGACTTTCAGGTATTGGGGGAGTAATTAGAAATTCTGAAAGGAAAATATTAGCTTTGTTCTCTGGACCGATTGGCATGGGCAATTCTCTAAAAGCTGAGTTAATGGCATTGCTACAATGACTGAAGATAGCTAAGCAACTAGGAATGAGGCATACTGAGGTTGAAGGGGACTCCAAGGTGATCATATCTTGAGCTAAAAACAAAAAAGTACTCTGTGGACTTTCAAACAAATGATAAGGGAAGTGGAAAAGGTTGCAAGGGAGGTAGAGGCTGAATTCAAATGGGTTAGAAGGAGTGCAAATGGGCTAACTGATATCTTGCTAAACAAGGGGCTTTGAGGCAACAATTGTTTTGGGCTGCAATGGAAAGAGGGACAGAAATATGTAATAGTGTGGGAGCCTTAATCCCATACACAAAGTTGTAAAACTTTTTTAACTCTAATTTCAAATATAATTCTCCTTTGCTGATAAAAAAAAAATACGAAAGGTTAGGGAACTTGTTTGTTTCTTTGTTTTGGGTGCTAATTTCTGATATAATGGAAAATGTAGTGTTGTGACATGCAACTTAAGTGATTCTTCTGTATTGTCATCTCTTGTACTTGTAGTGTAGTATTTATTTGATCCAAATAATACAATATCTTAGAAGTATTTCTACAGCTTATTTTAACTATTTTGTACTTTGTGTTTGATACCAGTTTTTTCTTGAACAGGTCTCTGCTATGGCAAGCTGGAAGCTGGCTTATTGACATTCAATATACCTACAGTGCTTCTTGGTCACCTGGTACTTTCCTCCATTATTCAAGAAGAATTGTTGAACTGCATTATCTAGTTGATTGATCAGTCAGTTGTACTTAACTGATATATAGCCCATGATTTGAGAATGTAACTCTTGCTCTTACTGGGCAACCCAACAAAATGATCCCACACTAGTAATGTCAAAGTGGAATAGATTCTAGAACATTGACCAAGAACACGTTTGATAAATACAACCAACTATCATTACACTACACAAGCACCAAACATAGCTGACCAACCACAGTGCAACGACTACAAATGTATGGGAGTTACAGTTTTACAGGATTCCACTAACCAGATGGTTATTATCCTTCCATTATTGTGGAACTGAGGTGTTACAGAAACCATTAGTTAAGTTTTTGCTGTCACATACTTTCAGGATCAGGAGTTGGGATAATAAGTCCTACACCTACACGGTGGATATATGTCTAATATTAGAACTAAGAATTAAGCACGAGATTTCTTTTCTATCTTTCACTTTAATCACGACAATCCTCATTTGGAAAATGCAGACGGGTTTAATGGATGATGGAGTAAAACTTGGATTATTGGGTTCATGGATGGCTCTCTTTCTAGTATTTGCAGCAAGGAAATTCACTCAACCCATTAAGGTATGCTTTTCATTAATCAAATATTCAGTTGGCAAGCCCTGGTTACCTTTCAACTTAGATTGCATGGCATTCTCTAATCTGCCCTTGCTTCTTGAAGGATGACATTGGTGACAAGTCCATCTTTATGTTCAATGCACTTCCAGAAAGAGAAAAAAAGGCATTGCTCGAGAAACTAGAACAACAGAAGTTAATATCTGAACGTTAATTCATGAAGGACCAATTTATTCCAGGTAGCTGTAAGAAGAAACCATGATGCCAGATTTTCTAGGTACAGGTACTGTTATCACCTCCTAGGTTCCTCAGAGATCCTTTTGTCGCATTCTTTTATTGATTTGTGTATTAAGTATCTGTTTATCTGGTATTGTCCATGTTATTGAAGCTGGATTTATCTACTTTGCATTTAGAATCCATATCCTTTAGGTCAACTAATGTATCATGAACCTCACGAAATATTGGATTTTTAGCTTCTCAGTGTAGTACATAAAGACCCCCCTCCAAAAAAAAAATGAAAAGGAAAGAAAAGGAAAAAGAAATAGAAAAAAGTTTCCGAATGATTTTGTGTTTCCATGTGGGATTTAAGTGCTATTTATACCCTACACTGCAGGAATTGTATAAGGGTATGTATACCCCATTCGTGGGATTGAAGATGTGGCAAGTTATGCTGTGACTGCCGAAGCTGAGCCAATTGGGTAACAGACCACTGTTTACCATCTACAACATCTAGTAAATCGCAATTTATAATTTATTTTCATATTACAATGCAGCTTAATTTCTTTTTCCTCCTCTATACCTTCTAATGAAGCTTACGATCTCCAAGATGGGCTTTGTAGATTACCACCTGGTATAGACTATAGAGTTGCATGTATGATTATTTCTCATGGTCATGGTAGAACTGGCATAATAGACTAAGAACTCGGTATCTTCGAAACCAAATGCCAAAGATCAAATAATAAGGGGAGTGCTTCGGCCCCATCCCTAATGAAAAGTTAAAAGAATGGATGAACGTCTGTTCATGAGTCAAAGAGAATCATGGGCAGGATTTTAGTGACCAAGGATTCTAGTTGACCAAAGTAAAATAAATTAAAACACCATCTAGTATATGAACTTTTTTTTCCACTTTGTAAGCAAACACCAGGAACTTCATTACTATCAAAAAAGAACAGGACAGCCCCTAGGCAAATTCAGTACACCGTACACCGCCCAAAGAGAGTACACACATGTTTGGCAGTAACTGTGGATGTACTCATGTGCCTCGTTCGATCTACATGCTTAGTACTTGTTCCATTCAAAAACCATTATTACTCGTAATTCTATAGTGTTAATATATTTGCTTAGATCAACGAATAGAATTATAGAATATATTCTTTTGAGACTTTTTCATCAATTGCCTTGATAAAAAAGGAGGGAAAAGTACGAAAAAACACAATGCAGAATTCTGAATTCCAGCCCCCCCCCTACAACTAGCCCTCTGCCCCCCTATAAACCAGTCAGGATGCATTCCCCCTGTACTTTAGGCCTAGTAAATTCTGATATAAAACCAGAATGATATATTGATTACGTCTTGCAATTCTTCATTTACTCTTCCCCAAAGTTCTTTAAGCTGTATAATTATAATACTTGTGTGTGATCTTTGATTTTAAACGAAGGGATAAGGGCCATCAAAATCCCTCCTAATCAGAATTGGAATTCGTTTAAATAGGTTTTCAAATCCAAGGGAAGGGGAAGGAATGGCAATTCCCTCAAAATGGAAGAATGCTATTCAACCTAAGTATAGGAATGGAATTTAAATTCCACCCAACCAAACAGTTGGCACTTGGCACTAAAATGCCCATTCCGATGTCTAATTATATAGTCATATGCCTGCAAACCAAATGGGGCCTATACCTTCGCCTCAATTTTATAGTATGCTGCAAAAATCTCCCCCATTATAGTGACTCAATTGCTTTAATTTAATAAAATAAATCATTTAAAGGCAAAACATGGGAATAAAAATGAAGAGAAATAGAGTGATATAACCTACAAAATTTTCCATGGATGTCTCCATTACCAATAGATGCATTACTTTACTGAATTATGTGGCCTCTAAAAATTAGTTCCTAAGCCAGATGGCATTTGATTTGTTGCATATAAACAAAGAAAAAAGGTTATTCAATGACTTCAAGAACCACCGATCAGCATCGATATAAGATCACCACTCACAAAACCGCAAATATTTCCTTACAGTAAATACAAGAGTTTGATTACGTCATTCAAAGTCATCATCTGATTGAACATGGAGAGGGCTTGATGGTGAGACATTTCCTTCATCCAATGACGCCTCAGGTTTTCTCTTGTTCCTGGTCCTGGTCTTCAGTCCATCTCGGGATGAAACATTTCCTTCATCCACCACCTCCTTAGACTCCTTGATCTTGCTTCTAGTCCTTCCACCCACATGCAAGCTCGACGAAGAATTCTCACCACTAACCTTTCTCCGCTTGGATTTTACTTCACTTCCCGGAGCTTCAGCATCATCCTTGACATGTTCTAGCATTGCAGTTTGCTTTAGTTCGATTTCTGCGGGATTCTGGGAGTCCTTAACGCCATCTTCAGGTTCTTCTATTTTAACTTCGTCGGTTTGATTATCTGCCATTATGGCGTCAGGCATCTCCATTCTGTCAGCTTCTTCACTTGATTCGGTGACATTTTCCTCGGTTTCCTCGGACTTTCTTCTGAGAGATTCAATCACATCCATCAACTCTCTATTCACCTGTTGGAGTAAATTCCCAAAAAATTATTAATAGATTGTGTTAGGAATGCCTAATCAAATTGTCATCGGCACAAGAACTTGGTAAAGTGGCACCAAGAACATTCGGCTTAGTTTAGATTCAGTGTAAAAGTATATTGATGGTATTTTATATTGAATTGTATATATAGGTGATCTTACATCGATTATCAATGTAAAACTTATTGCTTGATAAGGTTTTACATCGATTCATGATGTAAAACTTCATTTCATCCAATTCCATTTCATCTAAACACACGCAAAACTGAGCCAAAGTGGTCTTACATCAATCATAATTACACTTTTCAAAACGCCTATAAAATCGAACCAATGTAAATTTTACATAGGTTCTTGATTTATATTGTTTCCAAATGCAGGACTGTAGTGTGCAAAACTTTATATTTCGTGTCATTCAAATTTAAATAATACTGATGCATATATAACCCTCATAGAGCACAAACTTTATCAAAGCGTAACACATCGCGCACCTGTGGATTCCGAAGGAAATCAGAAATGTCATTTGGACAGGAGGGGCATTTCATGACATTCTTTTGTGCTCGCAGCTTCCTACCCTCACATGTCCTTTCTCTCACAAAAGATTGACCAGTGAATGCACCTTCCAAGCAAGCTTTGCAAAAATTATGACCACAAGGAGTCGTAATGGGCATATTCATCACTTGCCGACATATCTGGCAGCTGAATTCTGCACGATTAAGTATTTCAAAAACAGTCAACAACAAACATTTTTGGCTTGTGAAAATAGAAAGCTGGCAATAAACTCCACTATCACCGATTTTAGAAAATCTTGTACTCGAAATAAACAAAGTACTACATATTTCTGTAGGATTTTGAATAAATCAAGTCCCCAAAAAAAGAAGATCCAGTAATAATTCCAATCAAACATTACATGTTAATCTAGGAATTGGCATACCAAGATATCGACTCGAACCTTCAAGCTAGGGAATTAAATGCCATGTAATCTTGGGAAATAAATGAGAACATGTGGGGAGTAGTTTTGTTAGCACTGAACAAAGAAAGGAGACATACCTTTCAGGAGTTTCTCCCTTACAGACATATTCTGTCCTTGCCTTTTAGCCTTCCTTACAATCTTGCCATCCTCCGGGTTTACTGATTTCCGACTGAGAGGTGAAGGCTTTTTCCATTTCCAACGGCCTTCTTCATCCTGTGAAGATTTTTGGGAATGTTAGGGGAAGAGAAAAGGGCAAAAGGTTTAAAGCAGAGAACTTCTAAGTTTCAGTTTCTCACATCATAATCCCAACATGGGCTTTCCTTCCGTTGAGTGATATCGGTCGCCTCCTTTAGCTCTTTAATTACAGGCAAGGGTCTAGGTTGGTCCCCATGTTCATCACTGTAGTTTGCATGCAAAAAATGCAAGATATTAGAAACACACATGATCGAATGAATATATTTACAACACTAAATACCCAGATTAAGAAAATAACAAACCTCGTCCATGGTGCAGGTTCATTATCACATCGAACAAACAGATACCTACAAACCTTAAAACCCTGATCCGCAAAAACCTCATTAAGACCAYCACAAGAAGAAAAGAAGAATGAGAATCAAACAAAGAAAATGCATACTTGAATTCCAACTTTGCGCCAGCATTTCTCAATTCTGTAAATCCCATCATATCGCACTCCAGTTTCTGGGGCATAAGAAGAACGCTTCTCCTTGTGGGACCTGCTCGTTGTAAAGAGGGATCTCATCAGGAATTTCACCATTTGATCCTATAATGTTTGCAAGTGCAAAAAGAACAATACACCTGAAAGATGTCATTAGACTCAAAGGTGGATTGCACCCATCAACTAACATGTGATTTCTGAAATTAGTTATTCCAAAAGTAGAATGTTGGAAATCAAATCATTGACGTTTTTAAATTTAAGAAACTACAGTTTCCATTTGATAACCATTTTCTGACAGAAAGTATGGACGGGTTTGAGAATATATCAAATGACTCGAATTGAACAATATTCCGATAATTTTTCAGATTGATAGCTGAAACCAAAGTCACTCTATGGGGCATTGTTTGGTGGGGTTCACACATTAAATCTTATGATGCTTGGACAGCTCAGGATGGTTAAAAGAAGATTGAGACACAAATACCAGGAATCCTATTTAAGTTACTTAAAGAAAGGTTTTAAAAGGCTAAAGGTGGAGGTGAGGCAGTTGGATCTCATAGGGGCAAGGCATAAGCCTCAAGGCATTGAGGCTTAATCCACGAGCAAAAAGAAAGGATATAAATTATAAATAATAAAAACATGAAAAAACATAAAATTAAGGTCTTATATAGCTTGTTTGATATATTAAACACAAATTTAGTATCAATATATCCCAATATGCCAATAGGGATACGAACCAACTGTATTTTTTTTATGAATAAATAGTATATTATTAAATAGAGATAGAAATAGTACAAGCATGAAGCACGCTAAGAGAAGGCACAAGGTGTTACCTCCCCTTAAAGGTGAGAAACCAACTTTATTTTAAGAGTAAAGCATTCAAGTTTCATTTCTTGCACTTGTATGCATAAGTGAAGAATGACCACCTATGTGATACAAAATAGATCATCCAATGTTTTAAAAGCGCAAGGGCCATTTTGTGCCTGAGGCGCAAGGCGCACAATTTAAAAAAAAAAAGGTTAAATTTCAAAAAAAAATCAAAAAAATTATAAACCATAATATTAATAAAAATATAAACTTAAGTTTTAAAATAAATGTTTTAAAAAACCTATTATCTAAAATTAAAATACACAAACATAATATGTAAAGCATATTCAAATGAGAATTTAAAAATGAAATCGAACATATAGAACATTTTCATGCATATAAAACCCACAATCTCTTTTTTTTCTCAATTGCATCAAGTAGCAAACGTGACATATTACATTCCTAATTCTACAAGCCGCCTTTGTGCCACACCTCACAAGGCACACCAGGTGTGCACCTTTTGAATGGGCTGCACCTAGGACATGGGCGAGGCACCTACCCTAAAATGCATCTCACCTGTGCACCTAGGCATGCGCCTTTTAAATCACTGAGATCATCAAGTATAGGGTAAGTGGGCAAGTGTGTAAGAATAAAGCAAAATATTTTTTACATATTTATATGTATTTATTTGTTACTTGTATGTTTATTTATTTATTCAATACAGCAATTTATACAAAACAAAGCATTCTTTTTTTCTTAAATTTCTATTTTACCCTAATATAAACCTTAATATTTAACATTAGCAATGACAAACAATTGAGGCCCAAGCCTTGAACACTTTGAGACCAAAGGCCCAAAGACGTATAGTGGGGTATGAGGCTATTGAGGCCAGGCCTTTTTTCTTAGCCTCACCTCAACAGCCTTTAAAACAATGACTTAAAGTGGTTTGAGCCTAATAGAGGCTACTAAAAAATTGTCTAAAGGCCCCAATAGGACTATAATTACTGTCAACAGCCTTTTAGAAGATGCATTACCAACTTCCATACTTCCATTTGGGATAAATTTTTGAGAGATGTTCTACAGACAAAAGAAGACACTTCGATCCAATATGGTTAAGAAACCAATTAACCAAATCATAAGGTTATTTTAAGCAAGAATAGTTCTCCTACATGAAATAATCTTACCTGACAACTCTAACTGGATAACCTTTCTTGCAACTGACCCGCAGTGCCTCGTTTAATTTGTCAAACTTCTGATCAAAGGATTGCTCCTTGTTTGTGCGCTTATTTCCACTAAGATCTCTTCCACCACTGTTCATCATATAAATAAGTTACCATCAGGTCAAACACATTCAGATACAAGTTCATACGTGGGAATTTCTAAAATAAACAGGCAAGAAATAGCAACACTTAGGCATCTTGCAGTACAAAAATTGAGAACTCTTATCAACCAACAGCTAAGAACTATGGATACTGCTAAAGAAGGAAAATGAGAAGCGTATGTCACTGACCGATGCACATCTCATCTATCAACTGTTCCTCGCCATTCCATTTAATACAGAAGCTATAGAATCTACGTTAGAAAAACGAAAAATATTTGACAACAAGACCCTCTATGGTAAAAAATCAAGCTACAGGCATGAATTGAAAAGAGGGGGACCCATGTCCAATGATGCAGACATTTAGTAGTGATTTGCATCAAGGGAAAACAAATGCAGAAGTTACCGGATAATTTTCATGTGATGAAGAAAATTAAGAGTAAAACCTTTGACATTGGGGAGGAAAAGAAGGTAGAAGGCACCGCTAAATCTTTTTTCCTAGAAAGAAATAAAATTAGGACCAAGACTTTAAACATCAAGAACTAATTGATGCCGGAACCGCCATGGAAAGCTGTGGATCTCAGTACATTAAAAGTAGTCATATAATTAAGCAGAGAGTAGGCTTTTAATGCCCCAATCATTAAACAACCAGGAAATGATTAAGCATGGGTGAAGTCAAAGAACAAACAAACCTTCCCGTATATAGGAACCACTCGCCATGATCCTCGTCATCCTCATAACCCCCAGATAGGGCCACAGACTGTGCACCATAATCTGCTTGTCCTGCAATCCCTGCAACATGGGGAAGGTGAGCACCCCATTGCCTGCATTCCATTCTGTCCTCCCAAGTCTCCCCAACCAACACACCCTGATTTTTTATGGGGTCATTCTCTGCAGTAATGGGTCCAAAATGGTCAGGAGGAACAGTGACAAAGATCTTCCCGCAACAAGCATTAGCCTTCCCAGCCTTCTTTGCCCGCTCTGTGGTGAAGGCCTTGTCAGGGCGGTTTTGGTTGTGAACAGAATGGTATATTTTCGGTGGCCCTACCGTGTTTGTTGATTTCGACAGCTTCGCCATACGAATAGCAACAACTAATGTAGAGTTGATACGAGGCTGGCTGGCCATCTTGGCAGGGATGGTCGCACGGCATTTGGCACATGTATGCTTCCCCTGTCCTGTCCATTTCTGGAAGCATTTGAGGCAGAAATTATGCCCACAGGGGGTCTGAAAACATAGAAAGTGGATTGGATTAGCATTAACACGTTAAAAATTCTTCGCAATAAGGTATCAATGAGCTTCTACTACTCATGATTTCAGGTTTCTCAGTCTGAAGATTCCAAACAAATTGTGGTTTAACTCGACCACAGTTGCAAACCGCAAACGTTTCCGAACATGGAAATGTAAGCCGTAATGTCACAGAGAGGGTGTCCGCATCGGCACACTCCAAAACTCTCAGCCTCAAGCATCAGCCCCACCGGTCACGTAATGACACCATGACGTCCTTTTCCACGCAAACCCGTGCGTGAAAGACGGAGACATAATCAAGCCGAGATGAAGTGACACATGACCGTACAGTGTCACATCCAGCGCCGAAACTTCCCAGTGCGTTGCGTGAAACTCGGCGTTTGAGGTACAGCCCCGAACGGTGCAGATTGGGTGCCGGGAAAAAAGGCGATAATAAAGGGAGAGGGAAGTAGACAGAGTACCACGATGATGATCAGATGGGAGTACTCGAGGTTTTAAAAAGGGTATATGCGGCAACGCCTGCATCGTCGCCGGGCGTACTTCCCCCACACCATCTATCAGACTCCAAATACTGGTGAGCTCAGAAACGAGCACATCACAGAATCACAATGTTTATGCCAAAGTTAGCGATATTATCATATCACCACTCCATGTACAAAAATATAAATTAAAAAGGAAAACCTCATGCGACGCCATTACAGAAAGACAGAAACCAAATACAACAATTATAACTATGAACACTAATTAATTAAAGATGAAAATCTTAGTTATGACTCCCTTTTCACAGTCTATGAGTTTGGATTAAAGAAACCCCCCAATAAGCATTTTAAGAATCCAAAACAAGGATATAAACAACATGACATAACCTTCCCCACACGATGACAGAGCTGTTAGTGCTCTATGACTGCGTTGTAAACAACAACAATGAATCTAGAGAATAAACTTAACCCCCCACTCCTCAAAGCAAAAGACAAGAAAATTGCAGTCAGACTGGAGAAGATACATGTAATCGCTAAACCCAGGAACACTGGAATGAAAAAACATAAATGCGGTGAAACAGAGGTTAAAGATGAATCACTCACCGTAACGGGTCGATCGGGTAGTTGCATACAGAATGAGCAGTTGATGCTTCCGTCAATGAGATCGAGCACGTCGCTCTCTCCGCTATTTATCTCTGTCTTCGACTTCTCCTGATTGAGATCGGGCGACTTAGCCCCTCTACACATCAGCTCCTGTCGTCTCTTCGCCTTCTCTTGCTCAGTGAGCGACCCATCAGCCTCGATCGCCCGAATCGCAGCCACCAGGTCTCCGCCAGAGGCAACCGAGTTTCCAACGATCGGCGCTTGAATACCAGCGTCTGGAAGTGAGCAGTCGGGACACTCCCACTGAAACGCGGAGGCCATGGTTTCAGGTCGAATGGCAAGGCAGTTGACGTGCCAGGGAGTAGCGCAAGTTTTGCAGGTAAGGGTCTCTTCCTCTGATGGTTTTTGTTTACAAACCATGCAAACGCCGTCTCCGTCGCAGGGGAGCTGGGTATCGTGCGCCATCAGAGCGAGAATAAGCGGGAAATAGAGTGGAGTTGTGACTGATGGGCAAGGGTTTTTTCCAGAGAGTTGGTTCTGGGTTGTCCGAAGGAGAAGAAGATATTGACGACCGGGGATATATAAGGGAGAAGGCGGGTGTTTGAAAATATTTTGGAGGGGTTTTGAAATTTTCCTCTGCAAAAACCGAAAACAAGGCAAGTTTCAGAGTATAAAAGGATCTTTGAGCGCGCCGATGGTTAACAAGTATACGGTATATACTGCCGCTGTAGCTGGTAAAATCTTGAATTGACTAAAATGCCCTCAATATTCAAAAGTTATGGCTCCGTTTGATTTGTGGGAAGATTTGATTAGGATAAAATGCCCTAGATTCTTAAGGTTCCGTTTGGTTTGTGGTAAGATTTGAGTGGGATGGGAAAGCATAAAACTTTACATTTTTCATTGTTGGATTTTATATATGGGAAAATAATAGGAAAAACACTATAATGGGCTTGTTCTTCATCCGAGTTGAGAAAGCAAATCTTCATGAGTTGTAGCGGCGAGAGTTGCCGAGAATTGAAGAACAGAGCTCCATAAGTTGCAATGACGAGGGTTGAGAAAGCATATCTAGTGAAGACAAGAAGAACGGGAGTGCCCCTCGTAGATCCCTCGCAGATTGCCGCATATATGGTGAATACGGGAATAATATGAGTGCCCCTTCCAAATCGTCATAGATCTGGTGAAGATGGGAAGAATAGGAGTGCCCCTCGCAGATCGCCACATATTTGGTGAAGATGGGAAGAAGGTGAGAGAGAATAGAGAAGAGGAAGATGGAGGGAGATTGTCGTAGATCGTCGCTGTCCCTTGCACTAGTCCCCTGTCAAGTGAAGAACAAGGCAAACAATAGTGGTTTCTCAAATTTTTCCACTAAGGTTGCACGATTTTGGTGCGACCCAAAATCCACAGTTTTGAGATATGACATCCCACATTTTTTTTCATCCCATCCTTATATTTCCCTCAAAACAAAATGAAGTAAAAAGAAATATTGTTGAAAAATTCCCTTTTTCTCATCCCCATCCCACAAACCAAGCGGAACCTAAAAAAATGGAAAAAAAAAATATTTTTAATTCCTCTAATCATCTTGCTTGTTCTTTTAAGCCGCTTTTCTTGCATTTTTATTTGGGTAAATTACAGATAAGTACGCTGTAACACTCGTATCTCAAACTTTCGGAAATAGACACTTGGGTCCATTTCTGTTAACTTACCATGCTGAAATGCTTGTATTTTTTAAGGTAAAATATAAAAACCTCCCCTTCATTTTATGACAATCATAAAAAACATCTCCTATAATTTCATTTTAGCAAAAACCTCTCCTCTACTTTTTACAAAATTAACCAATCTCCCTTCCGTCAATTACTAAGACGGAAAACGTTAAAGAGATGATATTTTTTAAAATACCTATTTTATCCTTTCTCGAACACTGTTAATCTTCTCCCACCGTCATTCTCCCCCGTCTATGCTCCCTCTCTTTCTTCATCACCTCTTTTTCTTCTTCTTGTTATTCCTTCCCCTCCTTTCTCCTCCTTCCACTGTCGGCGTCCATTTTCGGATCGCTTTCGATCACTGTTGTCTGATCATCACCATAGCCGCATCCATGACAAACTGAACTTTAAATCTTGCATCTTCAACAACCTGAACTCTAGAGCAAGCAAAGAAAAATCGAAAACAGAACTGAAACCAAATCGTTAATGCCATTTAACCCAAGAAACAAAATCTCAAAGATAAAACGAAAAGAGAGAAAAAATAAATAAAATGATCGAGCAGACAAGAACAGTCAATAATGTTCAGATCGGGCTGGGTTAAGAGTAAGATCTACTGGAGAGAATCTGATGGAACCTACTCCATCGATCTTCTCCGCAACCACAAATCCTCCCTGTCAAAGGAAATATATAGAAGATCCGGTTTAGGGTGAGTACCTTAGTAATGTCCTAGCCGATGGTTTGATGCTGCCAACGGGAATTCTAGTGAGTTCGATGTGTTCAATAATTGAGAAAGAAGGTACGAAAGGGTAGAACGATCGAATCTACTCCCACATACAAGCTTGAACGAATGGACAACGACCTCTAGGTGCTTGACTCACGACAGTGCTCAATTGAAGGAATATCATTCACGGAGCGGGGACCATGGATGGTTGCAAAACCGGACGATGACGGTGCGGTTTCACCTCTGCTAGTTTTCCCCCATAACTAGTACGAGCTCAGAGATGCAAAGGAGATTTGAAAATGTCGCCGCCTAAGTGAAAAAGACGCCAATGGTTCGTAGGGATGAATTGAGACCTGACACTGCTCTAGAGGAAGAAGACGATTAACAGTTCCTTCGATTCTGCTACCACTATCACCGTTGCTCCGCTCAGTCTCAAATGGAAGGCGATGAACAGGGGTATTTCCAACTGACTAGAAGAAGAATAAAAAAATGAGAGAATGGGAGAGAGGGAGCAAGGGAGTGGCTGAGAGGGGGTGCCACCGCTGGTCTGCTTATGGGTTCGAACAGGGAAGGGGAGGAATAGTGCATTTTCGATTGATTTATGTTGATGGGGAGAGGGGCAAAAGGAAAGAAAGATTGAGAGGGAGAGAATGGCGGAAAGCACCACCGCTGCTGAGAGTTGTAGCGGTGGTGATAGAAAACAGGGGTGATGGAAGGGGACAATGCTAGCAGAGGAAGAAGAAGAAAAACGAAAAAGAACAAGAAACCGAAGAAGATGAGAGAAGAGGAAGATATCGGATTTAGAGAGGTGTTGCCACCGCGGCTTCTGCTTTTGGGTTCGAGAAGAAGATGAACAATGTTCGGGTAAAATATGTATTTTGAAAAAATGATCGTTTCTTTAATGTTTTCTGTCATGATCATTGATAGAATGGAGATTTTTATTGATTTATAAAACATAGAGAGGAGATTTTTGTTAAAATGAAAATGAAAATATATAAGAGATTTTTATGATTGTCAAAAGCTTCAGGGGAGGTTATTGTATTTTACCTTTTTTTTTTAAATTGTTTAAATCATAATAACCCAGATTAAAAGTTCCAAAATGGGTTCTATTCGGTCTGGGACTCTGGGCACTATTGTTGCTCATCATGGAGAGAATAAACTATTGGCAGCCGTGGGTAGAAGATATGGTTGCCACCGCTTGAGCAAAAATAACTATTTTAAGTTTGATGCAAAATAACTTGACCCGACAAAAAAATGGCTCAATCTCCTTCACCGTTGTTGCTTATCATGGAAAGAATAAACTATTACCGTCTGAGAAGAAATCAGAATAAAAATTAAAATCTAAAAAGTATGAAGGAGAGATCTACACTCCGAACAAGAATCCATCTGAAAGTCAATTATCTCGTAAGTCTCCCGGTCGCAAGCTTGTTTCACCTTCGGTACCGGAATCTAAACGGTGAAAAAAAAAATCTCGGTTCCCCCTATTGCATTTATCAATCTTAGGCCGAAATACTACCAATTAAACTTTATTATCACTCTCTGCATTCCATTTTGATTTCATTCTTTCGTTTTCATGCTTCCCCGATTTGATTTCCCTGCATTTTGCTATAGAGTGGTCAAGATCCAAATGGGGGTAGTAAGCGAAACGGGTGATGAGGCTCCCGTGGCACCAATTCCATCGAAACTTTTGACACTAACCTAATCTCATCATCATTATTTTTATGGGTTGGGATTGCCATACTGATATATTATAGATTCGTTAGTTGCTCAAATAATCAACCTTTTTTGTCGTTGTTTTCTTTTATCCATGAATCAGTTTATTCCCCGCTACTTTCATTAGTAATTTGTCGCTCATTTTTGTCATGTTTTAGCTTTCCCTTCTATGAGGAGTAAGCTCCATTGAAAGTGAGGATTTGTCAGTTTTGAAGCTTAGTCTATGATTGTTTCTTTAGTCATAGCTGATGTACTTGTTTGTGATGTTCAAAATAGATGTATGATATTTTGCCTCATTGAATGCTGATCTGTTCCGTATTTTTATTTCCACTCTCACACCTGATAATGAATCCCCCTTATCTGTTTTAGTGATTCATCTATTTTTATTGTAGTTGAGGCATAAAAATGAAAATATGGGAGAAAGAGTTTATAAATTAGAAGGGCAAAATGGTCAAAAAATACATAAGAAGGGTAATTTTAGTATTATAAAATGCTTAACTGACGAAATACTGATGAGTGGACCCAAGTGTCTATTACTGAAAGTTTAGGGTACCTAAGTGTTGCATTCCAATGTTCGAGGTGTTTAAGTGTTACTATCCCTAAAGTACATGGTACTTATCTTTAATTTATCCTTCTAATTTTTAGGCTTGGTGAAAGATAAAATCTGATTATTTATTTGATTAAGACTTATAAGCTAAAATTTTCCTAAAGCCATGAAGAAGGGTGTATTTACCAGTAAATATGATTTTGTTTTCTAAAAGAAAAACAACTACCACATGTATAGAAATAATATTATCAGCTAATGTTTCAAATGTTTTTTGTTTAAAAAAAAGTGTGAATGATGATTAATTTGGATGTTTTGGAATAATGCATCTACAATACACTAGTTAGATTTTATTGGGCTTAAAAAAAATTTGACAAAAACGTTTTTTTTTTTCAATTTTTAAACAAAATCACCTTTGCTTGAGTTAGTGGTTCAATCATTTAGATCAAATAGTTCAAACGCGTGATATCATAAATAAAATAATAAAAATATAAATATTTTAGAAACATGGTGTGAATATTAAGGCTCTGTTTGGAAGGAGTACAAATACAGATTTATAGAGTATAAAACCTTGCATTTTGTATACATTTGCACTGTACATATTTGTATATGTAATCATTCTAAATTGGGCCTGAATGAATTATTAAAAACACAAAAAACATGTCATTGATGCAAAATTTCCCCAAGAGTTATCTTATCTTAATGAATCGATTAGTTTGATTAATTATCTTTCAACTTTTAATCAGTAGATCGTTTACCTTGATGGTAGTAATTGGTTTCAAATTAAACAATTTGTTCGGCCATTTTGATTGAAGATTGTTTTTCGCAAACATTTCTAGCTAGTTTCAAATTATATGGTACACACACACAAAAAAAAGTATGGACGAAAGAGAAGCATCTAATCTTTAAATTGGCATTTTGGGTTTACACTTAGTTAACTCCTTCCGCTGCCCAAAATGTTGTCTAAGTAGCTATTCATGTCTGGCCATTATTTCAAAGTCTAGATTACAAAGAAAGGGTCAGAGGATTTAAGTACTGCAGGGTAAGGAAGATGAAGTGAAATTGAGGAAATAATTGCAAAGTGTATCAACGAAAGATAAGAAAAATAAAACAACGAAATAACAAAACACTAACCCAAAATGTCTTTTTGAATATGTTAATTGAGATTTGGGATTTGGGACACAAGTGTCCTTTTCAAAATTCTTTGTGTTTTTGTTTTGAAATTAGTTGTTCAAGTCAAGTGATTTGATGGTTAATTGACCAAATCACCAAGTATGTGTTTGCTTCCGTAGTAGGCAGTTTATTTATATTTTTTCATTTTAAATATTTATTTATATTTTTCTTCACTTTAAAAGTTGTTTATTTTAAACAGTTATTGTTTTTGTTGTTTGGTAAGGTTTTATTTTAAAAGTTTTTTATTCTCCACCCCAAATTAATACCCACTAAAATGTGTTACACCAGCATTGGTTTCAAAAAATGGTAGTGCAAGGAAACAAGAATTTGATATTTTTCCAAATGTCTCCTGCACAAAAATTAAATCGTTTTAGTTTTTTATCATTTATCAAATAAATGATAAAATCAAAAAGTCGTTTCATTTTGTTTCATATACAATAAACACCAAGCATATGTGGTGGCATATTTTCAATAAACACCCACAGAGCCAAGCACAACCCAAATCAATGTTTTTTTTTTTTTCAAAAATGCTGAATAAGCCTCAAACAAAAAACAAACCCATAAATATGACATTATTTTTTTTTCAAGGGGGATTAAGCCTCATTCAACACCAGGATGTATTAATGAATGATATCCATTGATAACATCATAGCAGCTTTCAATGCATCGCCATCAAAATATATATTACGCATCCCCCCACTCAAATGCAAATCTAAGGTAATGCTTGAAAACACAAGTATTTATTTAAATAAGTACATTTTTTAAAATATGGGACCACACATTAAGTGGTTTTTAAGTACTTATAGGTATTTGGTAAAAAATACTTATTTTAAAAATTATTATTTTTTAATAAATACTTATTTTAAAAAGTGACTTCAAATTGATTATCTTTTTTAATAAATTTTCAAAAAAATAGGACGAACTGGTCCCTAATATTTTATTGTAATACCTAAAATACCCCCGTACTCATTCTCTCACAACTGTTATACGGCCTTCTCACCCCTCTCTTCTCTTATTTCTCCACCTCAATTTCCTCATCATCCTCGAATTTCTTATTCTCAGCTGCTGCTTCCATTCCGCATCGGTAATCCTCTCCTTCATCTTCGTGGTCGTTGTACTTCACAAACCTCTATAGGCTGGGAATGACACTCATCATTCGTGGGGTAGGAAGCCTTGAGAGTTTCATAGAAAGAAATCCTCCTAGACTTGAACCATTCATAAACTAATATTAAAATTTAAACAAGAAAGGCAAACAACCACTTCTCTTTATTGCCACTACTACTTCCGATGATAGAAGACAACAGGAAAAAGGAAAAACATAAGAGAAACATATATAAAGAGGGAGATCCTATAAACTATTATCGCTGAGCGTGTGCAACGGTATCAGAGGATGGTATAGGTGAACCAGCGACGTCGACGGCCAGTGTACTGGGCTTGATATCGGGGCATTGACGGCAATAAACAGTTCTGGCCATCCTGGATTTGTTTGTAGACGGAGGCGACATGCCTTCCGCAACCAGCCCAACTGTTCTTCCCGCAGGACAAACACCTCACAACTTTAACACATACTCTATCCTTATCTGCTACACCTGCACGCCTTGTGTTTGTTACTTTGTTTCAGAGATTTCTTTCTGAGATTCTGGATTTCTGATTTGGGGGATGGCTTTGCTTCAGCTGGTAAACGCGTTCATACTTCATACCGTTGAATGCATATGGGTCCACGTGGTTCTTCGGTTTTTGGTCCGGAAAATCTTAATAATAATAATAACGCATAGGATAAAGTGGGGTTCATGTGGACTCTCACTTGTGCACGTGTGAACCCATGTGGGCTCTCAACTGTCATGAAATGGGGTCCATGTGGACTCTCACTTAAAATGTATAACATAATATAATATATGAAAAACATTATATATATATATGTATGAGTGAAGTGAGAGTTAAAACTGTCATTTGTGTCAATATAAACACTTATAGGAAAGTAGTTTACTAAACATTCCTATTCCAATGATTAAAAACAATAATAATTGGAGTGAAAAATGGGTTACCAAACAACTTTAAGCAGTTGTTAAAATAAGTACTTTTAAAGCTTAAATGAGTAGTTCAATTGATGTCAACCACGGCCTAAGGCTATTTGATGTCAACCAATTAAGAGTGTTGGACTCTTAATTGTTGAATGATAGATTAGTGTATATATTTTGACATTTTTTTATTATATAATTGTTTTGCATACAATAAAAACACTTAAATGAGTAATTCATGTTGAATCACACTGTATTTACTAATCAGCTTTAGGACAATCAATCCAATGTTCTTTAGGCTGAGTTTGGAAAGAGTACAAATGAAAACATGTACTTTGCAAATGCATATAAAAATAATGTAAAATATAAGGTTTTACACTTTACATATTTGCATTTGTACTCCTTTCAAACTGAAACTGAACCTTAATGTGTAAATCATTTTATCTCTTGATAGATCAATTGTTATCTTGAGTTTGGATAAGATAACATGCAATATGGACTCAAATAATGGCAAGCTGTTATGGAATATATTGTTTAAAAAGTTTGTATTTATTTTTGTATGTATTTACTGTTCCAATAGCAATAAATACAATATAAAAATGTTATTTATTGTATAAATCATAACATTTAAAAATGGTTTGGGGTCACCTTCCTTCTGTCAAAAAAGAGAACCAAGAACACCTTTGCAAGAAGAAGAAGAGGAGGAGGAGAAGAAGAAGAAGAAGAAGAAGAAGAAGAAGAAGAAGAAGAAGAAGAAGAAGAGTGTACTGCTGGAGCTCTCACCGTCGATGGATGATGGCCGGTGTGTGGGATGGGAGGAGAAAAGAGAAAAGTAGAAAAGGGAAAGAGGGAGGGTTCGAACTGTGAGGGAGTTTAATTTAATTTTTGTCGTTTTGTTCCCTGGTTCAATCGCATACCCAACTAACGGCCAAAATCCGTTTAGCCCATGTATACTGGATGACGTGGTCGTCCCTCGTTCGTGGGTTCACAGAACGCGGACTGGGCACAAACGGAGAGGGAGAGTTCCAGCTCATGACCCGATTACCAGCTTCGAGCCTTCAACGTCAGCTGGTTGCCGATTCTCTCTCTCAATAATATATTAAACCCACATTTGCACTGCTTGCTCAACACTCTATTGGTCCAAAACAAGTTGCCGCAGCTGGTTTATATTTGAGATTAATCTTTTCATCACCAAATTTCATCCACACCTGTTATCGGGTTCGGGCCGGGAACTATCCATCCTGGTTCAGATGGGATTAGATTGTCGCAGGTTTTCTAGTTTCTACAAGGAATGAAGGAAGAGTGGATTCGTTTGCACAAACTCGGTGATAAGAGAACCCTGTCCGTTTCGTTCAGCTACTTTCACGGGCTGATCGGGTTAGGCCCAGAATGTAACCCGACCCTTTTTGACAATGTCCCTTTCCAAAACCACTTAAATATCCATCCCAGTCCTCAAGCATCCAAGTACGTGCCCGTCACGCGGTATCACTCACTCACCCATCCACCTAAAATCCCACTACTCGAGGCCGAATATGTGCACTAGGTTTTAGGGTTTTTGATTTTTTTTTTTTTTTTTTTGAACCGTTTTCCACAAAAACAACGAACGAATCAGGATCACCTATTGGCTTTATCATTCTGTTGAATCGTTCGCATGCGATTTATCTCTCGCATCCTCTCAGTCTCGCCAAAGCCCTGTTACCTTCACATCCGCTACATTTCTTCTCTCTCCTCCACCATGGCATCCACCGAAGACTCTCTCCGTCGATCGCTGGCCGAGAAGCAATCCTCCATTGACGCCCAAGCCGCGGCCGTCCGGTCCCTCAAGTCCTCGGGCGCACCAAAGTCCGAAATCGACGCTGCAGTTGAAGCCCTAAATGCACTGAAGCTTGACAAAGCCTCGACCGAGAAGCAGCTCCAGGACGCCGTCAGTGGTAATGGCAATGCTAACGCCGTTAACAGGGATGCATTCCGTCAGGCTGTAGTGAACACGCTGGAGCGTCGGTTGTTTTATATCCCTTCGTTCAAGATCTACCGAGGTGTTGCCGGTTTATACGATTATGGTCCTCCCGGCTGCGCCGTTAAGTCCAATGTTCTCGGTTTCTGGCGGCAGGTGAGGTCGAGATTGGACTTGTTTGATTTTGGTTAAATCATGGTTGGTAACTGCAATTTTGTGTTGTGTTTACATGGTTTTTGCTTGGAATGATCGGGACAGCAGGTGGTTCTTTTTAATTATTTGAATTTCATCAGTTAACTTCGAATACTTAAGCGAGTTGGTTTATAAGTTTAAATTGCAATTTTGGCCTTTCAGATATTTTTTAGTTAATTTTGTATGTGCTTAGTTGTTTATTTTTATCTTCTAACCGTGGGATGGTAAGTGTTTATTTTTAATACATTAATTCCCATCTGATTCATTTCCACAACTGGGTAATGCTAGAATACTTAATTGCGTGGGCTAACCCCCCCACAGACACACACACATTTTGCTAACTTTTTAGTGATATTTATTTATTTTTTGAATTAGTCCCTATATACTCCATTTCCATTTTCCAGAACTAGGTTCTTTAAACTATGGTGGTTAAATTGTCCCTGCATTGTATTTAGCAGCCATAATTTTTGGCCAAATTTCATTTTTCAATTTACTTTTTCATGTGTTTTTATTGGATTGGAATTGTTGGGACTTGGGACTCGGGAGAGTATCTTGTGAAAGAAAACTTTATGTACCTTAACAGGCTTTGTCCCATGTAGAAGTGGAAGCAGAAGAGTAGTGGGACACGAGTCATGACGGAAGATATTGGTAGGCCGGAGTCTGATAATAATTCGGTGTTCGTACCCAGTGATACCGATAAAAAGGAAAATAATGAAAGGGAGGATGAGATTCACCAAATTGTTAAATCACTTCCTTTGGAAACAGGTGGTGGAGCATACAATTCAAGTAGCCAGATCATTGGTTTTGTTATTTTTGGGGTACAAGGAGTGTGCGAGAAAGATGTTCAAGATATTAGAGGAACAGGGCACAAAGAGCGGAGGGAGATGGAGAATGTAATAGGACTATCTGATAAAAATAATGAAGGGGAGGAGAGCAGGTTCAGTAAGGAGGTGTATAATATCTTAGCATGGGAAATGCTGAAGCATAGCATGCAATTGTTGAGCAGGACATGCCCTTTATGAGTAATTACAATTCACACCCTGTCTTTTTTTACTAATATTGTCTTTTACTTTTGGAACTTCGAGCCTATATTGTATGCTGATTATATACGTTTTTTCCTTTTCAAGAATATTGTTTTTACTTTAATCTATAGAGATTAGAGAAGAAATTTGCTGCATCCTAACTCCAGTGAATGTTTATACATCAGATTACCCAATTTGGAATATAGCCTATAGAATGTTGTGTTTACACTTTACACAGGATGTGCAACTCCAGCATATTATATTACCTCAAACTTGTTCACACTGTGACTTCCAAGTATCAAATGTAGCTTTATCTCTATATTTCCAACTGTTTGTATGACTTTTTGTTTCTATTTTCAGCATTTTGTTCTGGAGGAGAATATGTTGGAAGTGGACTGCCCATGTGTTACACCAGAAATTGTGCTGAAAGCATCAGGGCATGTGGATAAATTCACTGACCTCATGGTTAAGGATGAAAAGACAGGAACTTGCTATCGTGCTGATCACTTGCTTAAGGACTTTTGCAAAGAGAAGCTTGAGAAGGATCTTAGTATGTCTGCTGAAAAGGCAGCAGAACTAAAACACATTCTTGCTATTTTGGATGATCTTTCTGCTGAAGAACTTGGTACTAAGATCAAGGAATATGGCATTACTGCTCCAGATACAAAGAACCCTCTTTCTGATCCATACCCTTTCAATTTGATGTTTCAGACATCCATAGGTCCATCTGGCTTGAGCCCCGGGTGAGAAAATTTGGTGGATATATTTGCACTTGATTCTCCTTTTACCTATTTATGTCAATATCTCATGCATTTGATCCAATGCAGGTATATGCGTCCTGAGACAGCTCAAGGCATCTTTGTGAACTTCAAGGACTTGTATTATTATAATGGGAATAAGCTCCCGTTTGCTGCTGCTCAGATTGGCCAGGCTTTCAGAAATGAGGTTTTAAAAATTTCACTTAATTATATGGAATTCACTAGGATTATACTAAATGCATCCCTTTTTTAGCAATATTGATATTTGCTCTACATTCCATATGAAAATCCTTCTGTTGTTCGGATCAGTTCTTATAATTAGTTGAATTGAGGGCTGAACTCTTCATATTATGACTGTAGGTACTGTTCTCTTGCAAGAATGACATTTGAACTCTTCATGTTATGTATGTATATAGATAGATGGGTTGTATGTTGAAGATCTCGATGGTCTTGGATAAATGGATAGCAGTAAAATTTCAATAAGCATGAGAAAAAAGCCTAGTAAACAAGCAGAGAATGCACTAGAAAAAGGGGGGAGGAGCATAATATAAAAGGACTTAACCAGTGAAAACCTAGGAAAATAATTTTTGTATCCCTTTCATGTTGAGGGTCTTTTCTTGTGGCAATGATACTGGATTTTCAAGCTTCAAATCTGACAGTACTTTTCTGCAATTCCAGATATCACCCCGCCAAGGCCTTCTGAGGGTCCGTGAGTTCACATTGGCTGAGATTGAGCACTTTGTTGATCCTGATGAGAAGTCTCATCCAAAATTTGATGATGTTGCAAACCTGGAATTTTTGATGTTTCCAAGAGAAGGACAAACATCTGGGCAATCAGCAAAGAAAATTCATATTGGTGAAGCAGTTTCCAAGGTTAGTTTGACTTTGGGTTTTCCTTTTTATCCACTCTTTTCATACCGGCACTGTTCACAATGTATTAATTGATTTATTTTTTTGGATCAGGGAATTGTTAATAATGAAACCCTTGGCTACTTTATTGGGAGAGTATACCTGTTCCTGACTTACCTTGGAATTGACAAAGAACGCTTACGTTTCCGGCAACATCTTGCAAATGAGATGGCTCACTATGCTGCAGATTGCTGGGATGCAGAGATTGAATGCTCCTATGGCTGGATTGAGTGTGTTGGCATTGCTGATAGATCTGCATATGACTTAAAAGCTCATTCTGTAAGAGTTCAACTGTCCTTTTCTTTTCTTGTTCTGCTTTTAATTGATGAGAGCCAAAACTTCACCGAGAGAACTTTTATCAGTTGTTCTACAAAATTGCAATATGCATAAAAATTCACATGCATCAATAATTTGATGGACGAGTAATCTAACAAAGAGATTTCCAAGTGTTAGATTTAGGGTAGAGCACATGAGTTTTGTACTTTGGACTATGCGATCATTGTATCTGGGACAATTTGTTCACCTTTTGTGCCATGTGTAATGCTACAAATACATATATTAAGTGGCAGCACGAAAGGGCTCTACATGTTCACCACAGGTTTGTCTGTGTGTGTGTGTGAGTGAAACTGAACACAGTCGTGATTTGGAAAAAAGGTCCAATGTATTGTGGGTGTACTGAAATGGATTAGGGAACATGTAGCATGTAGAGCAAGGTTTAAAATGTCAGTGCTGGTGGAAATATAAATAATCCAAATATAGGAAACATGCCAGAAATGCCATATGGAAATATTTTAAAAAGTAGAAGCATTGTGAAATATGTGAAAATATAGAATGATATGATAATAAGAGACATAGAAGGGCCATCACTTGGTACTAGTGATTTAAAAGGCGCGCCTCAGGCACGCTTAGGCACTTAGGCGAGGCGCATTTTAGGGTAGGCGCCTTGCCCAGGTCCTAGGCGCAGCCCATTCAAAAGGCGCACGCCTGGTGCACCTTGAGCCTTAGCCTAGGCGTTGAAAATTTGCTTCCTTTTCCTTTTTTTTGAGTTTGGCTACTGGGCCGGGGGCTCCACCCCCAGATTCGCTCGCTCACCGAAGCTTTGAGAATCCCCTATTTGGTAATGTTGTCCATTCATTCATCTTAATAAAATATCTTCTTAAAAGCAATTAAAACTTTTAAATTATTATTTTTTGTGTGAAATCTAAGAATTTAAGACCCTAACATGGACTTATTTGGGCTTGCCTCGAGGGGCATGGCACAAAGGTAGCTTGTAGAATTAAGAATGTAATATGTCACATTAGCTACTTGATGCAATTGAGAAAAAAAAGAGATTGTGGGTTTTATATGCTTGAAAATGTTTTATATGTTTGATTTCATTTTTAAATTCTCATTTGAATATGCTTTACGTATTATATTTTTCTATTTTAATTTTAGATAATAGGTTTTTTAAAACTTAAGTTAATATTTTTATTAATATTATGTTTTATAATTTTTTGATTTTTTTTGAATTTTTAGCTTTTTTTTTTAATTGTGCGCCTTGCCTCAAAAAGGCGCGTGCCTCGCCTTGCGCCTTGCACCTCAGGCGCAAAATGGCCCTTGCGCCTTTTTTCGCGTTGCGCTTTTAAAACATTGCTTGGTACGATGGTAAAATCTTGGGCTGACATGCGTGAAAACACAGTTTTGAGTTTGAGAGCAGCCACTTTGTGCAAAAATGCCATAGTTTAGGTTTGTATCCACTCCACCCTCCCAAACTCTAGATTGCAGGGACCAACATGGGGTAATGACTTTTATCAAGTCCATTGTTAAATTATAATCTTGTTCCGAAACCATCGAACAAAACTAAGAAACCAAAGTCAATAGACAAAACAATATGCTACAAAGTTGTCCTGTATACTTTGAGTCAAAACTCAATATAAGAGTATGCCATAGTTTTCAATGTGCCAATGCGATCCTAGGTGACGGGGGAGTGCTTAGTCACCTGCCTAGGCATTGCCTAGTGTATCAAATTTAACCTTGCTTTTCCTAGTGTTTCAAGGGTTGTGTCTCAGAAATAGCACTTCTATTCATAATGTTTCAAGGCTAGTGTCTAAGAAATAATCATTGCCTAGGAAAAGAAGGGGCTAAACCTTTGTTTTTTTCATATAAAAAAGAAGAAAAAAATCAGAAAAATAAGGAAAAGGGCGAAGAAAGGAAAAGAACCAGAAATTTAAGAAGGGGTGTAAACCCTCTTTTTGTTCCAAAAAATGAGGGAAAAGAACCAGAAATTTAAGAAGCAGAGAGGGTTAAACCCTTGTTTTTGTCTCAGAAAAGAGAAAGGAAAAAAACCTCAAAAATGATGGAGAAGAAGGGGTGTAAACCCTGTTTTTGTTCCAAAAAATGAAGGAAAAGAACCAGAAATTTAAGAACCAGAGAGGGTTATTTCCTATCTCAGAAATTGAAGGTGCTGATGGCAAGCTGAAGTCATCATCCCATCAATTCCAATTGCTCCAAGTCTTCACTCTTCACACTGCAAACTTTTCTGTATCATTAGAGCCCTAACAAAACAAAGAAAATAACAAATACATGTTGGTTTGTGAAGTAAAAAAAGGAATGTTATGGTATATCTCCTCCTATTTTAATATGAACTCAAAGTATAAAAATATTAAAATATTGTAAAATAATGAACTTGTAAAGTATAATATAAAAACTGGTTGCTGTTTGGGACCTTTGGGTGCGGTGAGCAATAAAAAGTGCTTATTCACCTATGAGTCGCCTTGACAATATTCTCAGTTGAAATTAAGGCCCATAAAAAGTGCAAGTGATTCTGATAGGTCAACCTGATGATCTACAGTACTACTGCCCAACATATCTACAATACTGTGCTGATAAAAAAAATATGTACAATACTGTTACCAATTTATGTTATAATACCATCTTGAGTACTCCACAAATCCACATAATTTCAGTAGTTTTCACTATGAAACTACCCATGGAAATGAAAATATGTCATGAAAATATTAGGAAATATGTGGACATTTTGAACCATTATGCAGAATACACGAGGCCTTCCTTAAAACAGCAAGGGGAGGTCTAAAAACCATAAAAGGCCTAAAGAATATAGTAATATAACAATGCAAAACAACAGAAAGATTAGCCTGGGGGGGTGGAGAGCCCATATGTACCTCAAGTGTCTCTATTTGATGGAATATCGAGTGGCTACGTCATTCCTCTAGATGGATGAAATAGGATAGGTCATATGGACAAGCAATTTGAGTGGTCCGTTTTTTGAAAAAGATGGTAACTCTATTAATGAAATAGAGGGTACATAAGAAGATGTACACAGAAATTGCAACTCAAGAGTTAAGTAGGAAGAGAACTATCACCAAGCAAGACATCCCTGTGAGCACCAGCTTTTGCTAGACCATCCGCATCCTAGGGATCCAACCTAGCTGTGCATTTAGGTTGAGAAGGATATCCCTTGCTTCAGTCAAGAAATGAGCTAAAGCCCATGGCCCACTGCCAGAGTCAGCTAGCCACCTGATTGTATTTGCTGAATCTTCTTTTATGGTGATGTTCTGAAAACCCAGATCTCTCGCAATCCTTTTTGAAAGCCTCTTTCCTAAACGAGTATGAAAATCCCTCGAAGGAGTGCTCCTGGAACCAACAAGGTAGACAACAGAATTGGGACCCTTTCTCCTTCTGGTACCTTCTCTTGTGCCTCTTTTTTTTCAAGCCTTAACACAAGCAGTTGTTCCTTTTGGTTTGTCCTTTCCTGTTAAGGAGGTGTGGTCTCAACCTATTCCTCCGAAGGTAGGAAGTTTCTATTGGGAGGCCTTCCTGGAAAGAGTTAAAACACAGGGGATCTTCAAAGAAAAAGGCCCAATAGATGTTAGTCTCCTCATTGGTGTGTCCTCTGCAAATCCGCTGGTGAGTTTGGGTTTCACTTACCGATTTCCTGTCAATTTGCAAACATTATTTGGGAATGGTTTACTTATTTGGGTATAGGTGGAACTCTCCAATGGATGTGCAAAGCTTGTTTACTTCCTCTCCTTCTAGCTGGCCAACTAAAAGAGCAAAGATTATGTGGAGATGTGTTAAGGCTGCAGTATGTTGGTCTATTTGGGAAGAAAGAAACTTGAGAATCTTCTCAGAAAAGGAAAGAACTGTGGAAGCAGTGATAGAAGTGATTCATGCAAGGGTAGTTCATTGGCTGAAAACATTGGACTTATTTGTGGATTTCTCAGTTGATGATTTGTTTAGGAATTGGGAGGAAATTGCAGATTCAGCCCCAGCCAAGATTGTCTCAAGTTCTTGTTGGAACCCTCCACCTATTGGCTTTACCAACCTGAATTTTGATGGCAGCAGCATGGGCAATCCTGGGCCTCTAATAGGAGAGTTTTGATGGACCATGAAAGAGGGATTGTGATGGCAATGTTTTCTGGCCCAATTGGAGTAGGGGGCTCATTGAGGGCTGAGATTTTAGTCATCTCTGGAAGGGATTCAAAGGGCTAAGGATTTGAACATAAACAAGCTGATCTTAGAAGGAGACTCTGGAACTGTAGTGATGGGTAAAAGAAGAAAAAGGAAACTCAGCAATGAAAAGAGGAAATACAGCTGGTTGGCTAAAGATATGGAAGTTTGATGCACTTGGATAAAGAGAAGTGCAAATTCTTTTGCAGATGGATTAGCTAGACAAGGGGTGAATAGGAGCTCCGTTTTTTGGGCTCAACTGTATTTTTTTCTTCTGTTTTTTTTTTTTTTGTTTTTTTTTGTTTTTTTGGGCTTTAGTGGCATTTGTAGGGAGTTAAGTGATTTTAGCTCCTGTTGGATGTTTTCTCAACAATTAATCAATTAATGAAATCTCTGTTATTGATTAAAAGAATGAGCATGGAAATCCCCCTTGCTTGTAGTAGCCCCATTTAGGAGGCTATTTAATTTCAGGACTATGTTGATGGTTATGCTATACTTCATCATAATTAGGAGAAACTGAGGCTGCATTGGGCATGCTTCCAGAGGATTAATTTGATGATTTTTTTTTTTTTTATTTTAAGAATTATTTTTTAAGTATGAACAAAAATTGCTGGAACCAATTCCTTTTCTGGCTTAAAATTCATTCTAAAAGTTGATTATTTGGAGTTAGAAAATTCAGCTTCAAGAAACAATCATTTTTGGTTTAAAGCTCATTCTTCAAAATTCAAATAGTGTTACTTTGGATCTCAAGTTTAACCAAACATAGCCTGAGAGTTACTCCTATTATGTCAATTTGATTAAATGCTTATTGGAGGAATACTTCCTGCATTGTAGTTAGAGATTTGACAACATGCCAAACATATCTACATTGTTCATCAATATTATCAAAGGATTCTCTGTTACTTATTCAAGTTAGTATTCTTGTTCAACAGGAAAAAAGTGGTGTTCCTCTTGTAGCTCATGAAAAGTTTCAAGAACCCAGAGAAGTGGAGGTTCTCTCTCTCTCTCTCTCTCTCACACACACACACACACAAAACTACTTCCACTCTATTTCTGTTTCCAGTTTCACTAATTTGACCCCGCATTTGCATGGAATATGATTTCAGAAATTGGTTATTGCCCCAGTGAAGAAGGAGCTGGGTCTTGCATTTAAAGGGGCCCAAAAGAATGTGGTTGAAGCTTTGGAGGTAACAATAGATTGAATGCTATAACTTTTAGAATATGTAAGAAATTCTACTCATCTTGCCTGTATTTCTTTTCTTTTTGTGCAGGCCATGGGTGAAAAAGAAGCCATGGAAATGAAAGCCATTTTGGAATCCAAAGGGGAAGCTGAGTTCCATGTGTGCACTCTTGGAAAATCTGTCACTATTAAGAAAAACATGGTGATGATTTCAAAAGAGAGAAAGAAGGAACATCAGAGGGTTTTCACACCTTCGGTGATTGAGCCATCTTTTGGTATTGGACGTATAATCTATTGTCTCTTTGAACACTGCTTCTACACAAGGCCAAGCAAAGCAGGAGATGAACAGCTGAATGTATTCCGTTTCCCTCCTCTTGTGGCACCTATTAAATGCACGGTCTTTCCCCTGGTTCAAAACCAGCAGTATGAAGAAGTTGCTAAACTCATCTCTAAATCATTAACTGCGGCAGGGATCTCACATAAGATTGACATAACAGGTATGCAACTTAGATTGTCATATGATTTAGGTACTGCATTCTTGGGTTTATGCATGTAAGGCCCCGTTTGGTTTACAGGAATAGGGGTCTGGAATTGGAATCGGAATGGGCTATTCCCATTCCAACTGTTTGGTTGGGCGGAATCAGAATCTCATTCCCATTCCTGCTGGAATGGCATTGTATTCCCCATCTGAGGGAATGGCCATTCCCTACCCCTCGGGAATGAAATCGCATTTCTGCTTATTCCAATTCTCATTCCTATTCCTGTCTGAACCAATCAGACTATGGGAGTAGATCATTCCGATTCCGAAGGATTCCTATTTTGATTCCGATTCTGATTCCAACTGCGTACCAAACGGACCCTAAATATAGGAGTGTGTTGGTTGAAAGGAAAAGAAGAAAAAAACGAAAGATGCAAATGATGTGTTGATATTTCGATGCATGCCATTTATTGTACATTATGTTTTTCTATGTTATAGGTACATCAATTGGAAAACGATATGCAAGGACAGATGAACTGGGTGTGCCCTTTGCTATTACCGTAGATTCAACAACATCTGTGACAATTCGTGAGAGGGATAGCAAAGATCAAATTCGTGTGAGCGTGGAGGAGGTGGCTTCTGTCGTTAAAGAGGTGACTGATGGGCAGAGCACATGGGCCGATGTGCTGTGGAGATACCCTACTCGTTCAACCGTCGTGGTGGATGAATGAGATAGATAAAAATAAAATAGCATATTTCTTGTTTAGGGTGTTAAATTGAAATTTGTTTGACATTAAAATCTTACATTTTCTTCACTCAAGTCAAAAGTCTCGATTATAGCAGCAGTAATGAGGGGAATTATAGTTTGTTCACTCACACATTTTGCTATTGTAACATTAATTGGAAGAGGTTAATGCATTTATAATTGAACATGCTTATAGGAGTAATTATTTCTCTTGAGCTGCTTCATTTATTCATGGCGTCACTCGTCAGGAGTCAGGGCCGGGTAGATACCAAAGACACGGAGAGGCACCAAATGGTTGGTGAAGTTGCATGGAATTTGCTGTGCCTAGGCTGTTTGTCTGCTTCACTCGCATACGTGGTCTCTCTGTGGCCATCATTATGTATTTATGTGAATAAAAAAATTCTAGAAGGGAGGTCAGATAAATTCCAACCTTACCGAAGTGTATTTGTACAAGAATGAATATCAAAAAAAGGAAAAAAAAAATCAATCGTTCCATATCTTGGAGACTTGTGGTTTTATTCTTAAATAGTTTAAAACGGAAATGGTTGTTTCCCACTTACCCTGTTAAGTGTTGACTGGACAGTTCATCCACTCAACTCTATAATTGCATCAGCATCAAGCAATGCTAAGAGAGTAAGAGGGTGAATCTATTTTTCTAGTTGGGGGAAGCCTAATAATTGCAGGGGCAGGAATATATTGGAGCATTGCAAGGGATTTTTGTTTTGGTTATTCCTTGGCTTCAAATCGTTGTTGCTTTAATGCCAAGTGATTCTTAATTTTTGATATTTTACTTCTATAGGTGTGGAGTGTAAAGGCCAAATAGAGGATGGGATTTTCTTTCCACAAGAACTCTGAAAACATTCGCCCGATCTATACATTAGGAACATCTCTCCATAAATTTAACACACATGTGATTGGGAAGGGTGTGTATAGAGTTTTGTGGGGAGGGAATCTGGGGCCCAAATAGAGAGGCCCATTAAAATCGAATCTGATTCGGGTGGATGAATTTTTAATGCCTTTTCATATGGTAAGTTGATACCCAAGTCCTGCTTAACTTGATGGATTTTATTTTTCTTTTTTGGATTTGGACTCCTGCAACTTTTTGTCCAAGGCATTCTTCACCTCTCTTCGATGTAGGAAATTGAATCAGGAACCCCCGGGCCCCAACACTAGCCATATGGATGGATGAAACAAATAATTAAAGCTGTCATGGTTCCACGTTTTGGGGCTACTTTTGCCGCAGGGTGGAGCCGGTCATTCCAATTCAGGGAATAGAACTTTGAGTCCAAAGTCCAAACCCACTCGTGCGATCCGAACATGTACTTAAGTTTCGATTGGCTATTGGATAAATATAGGTGTAGAAATCACTGGCGTGGCGATAAAAACCTCAGCCAGCCTCTAAGTTGGTGGAACTCGGTGTCACAACTCATAATGTAAAACTAAAAGTATACCAAAGTACAATAATACAAGCGGGGTTGTGTGGTGATGGTTCATTCTGATAATCATAAAACAAGCATTTTAAATCATCATCCTTAACTACGATACCAAAGTAAAATATCAAGTATCCATCATATCATACGAAGTAGTAGTTTATGCTCTAATATATGACGACGACGACGACGACACAGCGTGAAGTGAAACATATCTCGCTCTCTCAGTCTCTCTCCCTCTCTCCCTCTCTCTCTCTATATATAATTATATAATAAATATATAAAAGGGAAATGTAGAGTGGGTAGTGGTTAGAAGGTAGAGGGGGGAGCGATGGTAGCGCAAGAAGAAGAGCAGGCAGAAGCAGAAACAGCGTTGCTGCGTTCGGCGTGGCAGAGTTGACGGAGCTTGGTGGGGACATACCAGATGGAAAGGCGTGGGTGAGAGTTGAAGATGGCGTCGATGTCCCATCCTTGTCGTGCTGCCATTGATACCAACGGCTTGTAGCACGCCTGCCTCCACGCCCCCACGTTCTCCCCTCTCTCCTTGAATGCTCTCCTCAGCGTGTTCGACTCCTCTTCATCCAGGCAATGCAGCGCGTAGCAGTGTACATAGTGTCGCATCTTCGGCTTGTTTATGTAGCTTGCCCCCGCCTTCTTTGCATACCTGAACACTTGGTTCGTCACCTGTGGTACGTAAATTTCTCATTTCTCACTTCACAACCAAATTAACCAAATGCACATGCATTCCGTTTATATGTAGCTTCCCCAGCCCATAATTATAATTATTAAATAAATGAATGGGCCACGGGCCACGGGCCATGGGCCTCCTAAGGACGTAAGGTTGCCCCACCGCCCTAATAGTCTAATACCTTATTATTACATATGCGCATAATATAGTTGGTTAATGGTCGGCACCTGGTAAATAAAAATAAAACTACTCAAACAAACAAAACATCTAACAAGTAAGCCTGCAACCGGTCATTTACACGTGAACCGAGACGGGTAACCCTCCCTCTAGTCTGAACGTGTACTACTCTGAACGAGTTAAAGAAAGAAAAAAAAAAAAGGCACATAGCTATTGATAGGGGTACTTTTGTCATTACGCGTGAGTCAGCCGGTAACCATGCAAGTGACAGTACTCCGGCTGTCCTCTACCGTGTACTACGTCGATATGGTAACCAGTCTCTCAGTGCAAACCTCACGTCTCAAGCAAAGGGCTGAAGCCTGCCTGAAAGGGGCTGCACTGAGCGCTCCCTACCCTACTCCACCCCCCCCCTACAACAAACGATTACGCTTACAAACTCTGGATTTGACCTTCCGTCAATGCCTCTCTGGCCTCTGAGCAAAAGCCCAAAGCCAACTCTCAACTCTGCCCATGACTATGAGGTCGGTCGATCAACTTCACCACTCGCGGTGCTGGCTGCTGCAACCGAACCCAAGGAGTTGAATTGAGTTTAAAATTATTTATTTATTAGTGAGTACGTTACTTACCTTGGTAGGACACTTTTCGCCTCTCTCCTTGGCGATGTTCTGAACCTGGATCAAGAACTCCCGACACTGCTCATACAGATGGAATAGATAATCAAGCCCGTTCTTTTTGCCCCTAGCCACCTCACCGGGCTCCGTTACTATGAAGGGATGCTCTCGCTGTCGCTCCCCACCGCCAACTCCACCCTCCTCATCCTCCGCTGCTTCATCATCTTCGTCCTCGTCCCCGCTTCTCGACGGCGTCTTCCTTCGACGATTATTTTTCTTCCTTTCCGCGCCTGCCACCTCCCACGTACCCCCACCGCCTGCTCCTCCGCCGCTCCCCACCGCCTCCTTCTCTTGTTGCACCGGTTCTTCCGAAAGCCCTGGTTACAACGTCAGCGTCAAAAGAAATATATATAGCTTAGTGTGATGGGTCGGTCTTCTCATTCTTTTTCGCTTAGACGCCCTGGTTTAATTGGAAAACAAGAAACTTCATGGCAAATCGAACATATATATGCTAGCATCGTGATCGTCCATCGGTCCATGAAGCCAACCAAATCCGGCGTATTGGAACTACAGGTTCACGTTAGTTAAAAAATCTTGAAATGAAAACATAATCCATATTGTAATGGTGATGATGTAATGTAATACCAGGTGTCAAGTGGAGCTTATACCAACCTTCTTGGGATAGAGCGTCAAGTGCGTTAGTGGTGTCTAATGCAATAAGGTGGCGTCGCCGGGTTTCATCCTCTTCGAGGCGGCGCCGCTCGGCCCGAACGGCGGCCTTGATGCCATATCTCTCACCGACGAGAAGCTCCCACCGGAAGATCTGTGAGAGGCTGGTCATCATGTCGTCGAGCTCCTCGTCTTTCATGTCCAAAAGTGTGCTTACAGTAAACCCTAGCTCCGCTATCTTGGCCGCCGTGTAGTATCGGATACCATAGGCCTGGAAGAAATCCTCCAGCCCTCCCAGCTCCCTCGGTCGTATAGTGGGGTAGGCTGGGGCCTGTGCCACCGCTTCAAGGAGACGATTCGCCGGCGGTGCGGCTCCTCCTCGAGGGTCCCACTTGAATAAGCTGGCAGAGAAGGCGTCGGGGTCCATCACAAAAGCCAAAGTGCAAAGTGAAACTCTCTCTCTCTCTCTCACTCACTCACTCACTCACACTCTCTATGAAAGCCCGGAAATAGTTATCGACTTCACGCCTTCACGGTCCTATAAAGTCCACTGTTTGATGTTACATAAATACCCTCGCTGTAACGTATAAATAACGTGCTCTCGTTCACTTAATTTCTTTTTTTTTTTGGTGATTCACTTAAAAATTAAAACTTAATTCATAATAAACAAAAAGAAAAAAAGAAAAAAAAAACAGAGACCCGTCAAAATTTGAGTCGAATCTATCGTTGGTGTCCTTATTTATTTACCTTGACGGAGGACTGTTTTATCTGGCGTGAATCAACTTTTGATGCGATATCATTTCATTATACGGTTCGAATAAACCCTAATGTTAAATATAGACGGTTTTTATTGGCATTACACGTATACACGTATGGGCCGGAGTGAACGGGGTCCCACTGAATCGTTGAGATTACAGTTGTATTATATGGCTCTGCAGGCTGGAGCCCGATCAGGCCAACCATCAAAAGACCAATTTTGTAATTTCAACTACTATTCATCGTTTGACTTTATAATGATAAATCCAATGGTTCATCTGAGACATACATAATATTCTCGAGATTTTTAGGGTGCTTTTTTAGACAAAAAGAGATATTTTAGTATATATTTTCAGGACTTGAAAAAAATTACTGATGGGTTATAAAATATATTATTTTTTGTAAATGAGCAGACCAACCTGGTTTATGCATATTATTATAATGTGAATTTATATTTGCATCCTTTATTTGCATGTTTACATAAATTTGTATACATGCTTATGAATTATTTAAAATGTTTTTGATTAATGAATAGTAACCTATTTTCGAATGAATACATTCTATTCACCAAGGAGCGGATAACCTAATGGCTGTGATGGCTACTTAGCACTCCTTTGAATAAGGAGCCATGGGAAATCCACAAAGCTGTAGGTTTTTTGTGGTGAAGTCGGTGAACCTCGAGTCCATCGTACTCAGTCCTCAATCCTCATTACTTGGGAGAGAAAGAGGGCTTTTGGAAACAAATCTCAAAAAAGTTGAGGCTGACTTTGTTAATTAGCACCTCTCTTGGAAACAAATCTGTATAGTATGTATGGTATACAAATACAAAGTTCAGAAAATATCGTAATACAAGGTTTTCTGTTGCACATATTTGTATTGCGAAGAGTGCAAATAAAAATATGTTTTACTGCAAAACCTTACATGTAGTATTTGTAAACTTTGTATTTGCACTGATTCATGCCTAATTGGGTGATGATTAAAAAGACCATGTCAATCTTTGTTTGATTTATGTTCTGTTGGATTGAGCATTTACTTAAGTGATTTTGGCAAAGCCAATGTTTTGAACCATCGTTTATTTAGACGGTCGGACCATTTGGTCCAACAATTGATTCCGTTTCATTCTTAATTTGGTCCTTAGTCAAAAATTGATGATTTGGTTAATGATTCGTTGACTTGAGCAGTTGAATTGTCGGCCCATTTGACTCGTTCAATGGTTTTGACCATTTTTTATTTTTATTATTTTTATTTTTAAGTTGGAATGAGCTATCTGTTCGAATCAAATAGTTGAACCGTTAACCCCAAAACGGTTTTATGTTGGTTCTATGTTAGTTTTTAACAATGTTTTAAAAATCGACCCAAAGGCTGAACCATTTTTGCCTCCAGATAATGGGTCACCGTTCGACTGATCGGGTGAAAAGGTTCAAATCGTGCCACATCATCGCATATATATATATATATATATATATGTGTGTGTGTGTGTGTAAATATGTTTTACATATGTTATATGTATTATTTTATATTTAATTTATGCTTTTTATTTTATAAACAATATGAAAAATTGCAATTTGAGGTCGAAAAAGAGATTTTTTTTTTTTTGCGAAAAATAGCGGGCCAAGGGTGCCTACAGCTCCTTGGGATGCATAGATCTCGAAAAATTAAAAAAAAAAAGAAACTTCAATCGAACATCAAAATGCAAATTGTGGCCTCCAAAAGTTTATATGCGTTAAATATGCAACCTGCTCCCGATTATCAGGTCAACTGGATCAACAGTCAATCCGATCGAATTGAAAGGTTCTTAACTAAATCAATAATTTTTGACCAACTGGTGGGTATTGACTGAACCAGACCCAGAATCCTGACTGGATGACGGTTCAGCCAGGTCAAGAGCGGTGAAAAACATTGGTTTTTAAAACTTTGGGCAAAGCTTTGTAAAATATGTTCAAAGCATCACAAGTATCATAAGTAGCTCTAGCAGGTATAAAACGAGCTTAGATGATTTGGGCAAAGACCATCGCCTGCAGAACCTGTGACAAAATATAAGTAGTTGTTACAAGTTAAATGGCTTAAAAGGGCACAAAAATGGACCAAAAAGATACGTAATGAAAGAAATGTGTAAGAAATAATGATTTAACACTCATAATTTAGTTAAGATACGGCTTAGAGATGATGACAGAGAAGTGGTGCTTGGCTTTTGGCTTTGGGTTCATAGCATTTCTGACGAAAGATTTCACAGCTCATGGTTATTTGCAAAGCCAGTTCGGCTGTTAGCCTGTTACAGTCGAGTACTTTGATGGATATCGCTATTAAGAAAAATTACTAGTGGTATTCCCTCATTTTCACCCAAAAAAAAAAGAAAAAAGAAAAAAGAAAAAATATTAGTGGTAAAACAAAAGAGTAGTATATTATAGAGCACCCTGGTAAAAAAAGTATTTTAATGGGTAATTTAACGTGAGAATAAATATATATAAGAAATTAATAATATTTTCTTGGGGCAATGTGAATGCAGGAAAGTACAGAAAGAGCCAGGTGCTTCAGCTCAGTCAGTTCTTCTCTGAAAGGCTGGGTTCTGTACTTTCCTGGCCGTCTTAGATCTCTTGTTTTATCTTTTCCCCTATTTCTTATTATTTTATCTTAAGTTTCTGATTTTTTTTCTTCTCTTTATCACGGATAATTTACTGCTGATTATAAATGAATTAGAGACGCGTCAAATGCTTATTTTTCTTTCTTTCTTTTTCTTTTTCCTGGTCAATTCAAATGCTGGATTCGTACTCCTACTCCTGCTGTTCCTCTCCACTGCGTGGAGATTGGAGAAGGGATGCTGGGTATCACTTGATTTTCTTGTCCCGCTTACGATTGCATCAAGAACCGTACATCCTTTCACATGGGTCCCATGCATGATGTTCCACTTCCAATCCACAATATCAACCTATGATGCTCTACGTGTGTTATGCATCTGTAATTGGTAAAGGAAAAAGCAAAGAAAAATGGCTAGACAACGCTGGTCTACGCTCCACTAAGTTCAGCACCGGGGCAAGGTTTTAGGTTTAAGTAGAGCCTAGTTTCCGTGCACTAGCCCTGCACTACGAGACAAAAGTAAACCTTGTTTCTTGGACTTTTCTTCTACGTCAAATGCTAGGTTTGGAAGAAAATGGTCCAACATCGGATGAGGATACTGACGTGAGCTTGGATCAACCACGTAAATGTTTACCGCTTGGATCTGCTACCAACATTAACGCTACCCACACCTCCCCGCAAGACCTTGCAGCACATTTCTCTTATTTCTATGTTGTCATTTATAGAGAAATGTTCTCGGTGAATGGTTGTGGTGTCTTGTGGGGATAGGTGTGTAGCATATCCATGGGCAGCAGACTAGAATCACCTAAATGTAGCTGGAGAGGACAGTAGATAAGTATGATACGTTAATGGATTGAGGTTATGTTTTTTTTTTTTGTATTTTATATTTTATTTTTTTGATAAATGCTTAAATTGATTGAGGTTATGCTTAACTGAATGACTCTTTTTTTTTAAAATGAATGGCTACTTTAAGAATGATGCCAATATCACTTTTTTTTTTTTGAATTTTTTGAAGGCTTAAATTATATTTAATTTATCTAAGAGATTGATACAAAAGATGTCAACAAAGAGACAATTTCTTAAGAAGAACAAAATAAAGAAATGGATGAAGGAGAATCAAAAGAGCCCATATCACTTAAAATCAAAATCTATGTGCATATAACATCCATCCACATATATATGATGAGTATTTCCCTTTTATCTATGTCAAATTCTAGGGGACAAATGAATTTTGCCTTGTTAGGCTTAAAAAAAAGCTATCCAATCAGCTATTCCATTAATTTATGGAGACTTGTTAGTAGGTACCAATGGTCAATCCAAATCTATTGCCAAAAAAAAACATATATCACATTCCTTTATGGTTATCTTGACATTCCACGATGGTGTATCCATACATTTAAAATAACTAGTAAATGTGTATGTGCTTTATACATGGTAATTTTAGATGATGATAATGACGACAGTGATAATAGTAATAATATTTTTACATGTATTTTCTATATTTTTTGTGGTATTTTCTTGAAATCTTTGTTTTTTTTTTTATCTTTTAATTTTTATTATTTAATTGTGACAATATGGGTTGATACATTTGACCCAAATGATTGAACTATTGACCTACCAACAAATGGGAAAACAATTTTATTTTTTGGTTGATTTCAATATGATCAATATAAAGCATTCGATATGTACCCAAATGTTTTCCACAAAACACATTTTTTTTGTAATTTTTGTTTTTTTTTTATTTTCACTATTTAATTATGACTTCAAGGGCTGTACATGTTTGATTGAAAGGTTTAATTGTTTATCTACCACCAAATAGGAAAACAATTTCAATTTTGGGCTAGTCCTAAAATTTGTATTTCATTTCCATCATCAAAATGACCGTTTTTGTTTATCATACTTATTTTTCTTTAATGTGAATAATTGTAAAGTATTATAAAATTTCCTAAAGTTTTCTATAATGCGATGAGTATATGATATTAGAGATGTGCCCAAATGTTTTATACCAAGGGTTGACACATTCCAAAATGTTGAATTGTTGACCCTCCACCATATAGGAAAACGATTTCATTTTTTTTCTTTAGTTTTTAATTTTTTATATCATCTCCATTATCAATGAGAACAATTTTTGTTTATCACACTCAATTTTCTTTAATATGATTGATATAAAATATTGATGAATTTTATATATTTTTCATATATTGTGTTTATATATTTTTAAAATTTTAAGTATTTAACTTTAACATCAATGTTCCACACATTTTGACCACAAATGTTGAATTGTTGCTGATGATGCATAATTTGGTAGTTCCTAGTTGGCAGGTGACTTGGATGCCTGACTGAATAATCCCTACCTGGAATGTGGCTTGGACGCCTAGTTGAATGGCGACGAGCTGAAGAGGTGGGTCTGATGCCTAACTGAGTGGTGATGAGCTGGAGAGGTGGGTCTGATGCTTAGCTGAATGATTACAAGCTGGAGAGGTGGCTCTAATGCCTAACTGAATGGTTATGAACTGGATAGGTGGTTCTGATGCGACCTGCAAGGAAACAATGTCAGAGTGCCCGGGTTGCTTTACCCGGGGTGGGAACTCCGATGCTTAAGTTAGCGAATCAGAGATTTTAAGATAGTTAAATGCGAGAGAGCTGGAGAGCTACGAGAACTAAATTGCGCATCTACCTGTGTCTTAGGGGATGACACCCTTATATAGTTGGGTTGCTGTGGGTATCGCAAAACGCTCCCGGAATCCTTGACCCACGACGTAGGGGTCCGTTCCACTTTGGAGGGAGAATAATGTGCCAGTTAATAAGGCTTACCATTTTTCTCCGATTCGAGCGGGATGATGACAAGGCCTATGGTTATGCGGTGTGATCCTGAAAGGTTCGGAGACAATTGGCATGCTTCTAGAGAGGTAGGTCACCAGGTTGGCGGCAGAGAGGCAGGTCACCAGGTCGACAACAGAAGTATGTCGCCAGGTTGGCGGTAGAGGCAGGTCGCCAACTGGGACCCCATTTTGTCTAAGGAAATTTGTCGCCTAGGTGATGTTGGGATGTAGTCCAACTGTTCTGATATGCCATGTGTCATGATGTCAGTGGAGGGGCAAATCTGCCCTCATCAGTTGGCATGCCACCAAATAGGAAACCAAATTTATTTTCTAGCCAGTTTTAAATTATGTATCTCATTTACAACACCGTTAAAACTAATATTATTTATCACACATATTTTTCTTTAATATGATTAATATAAAATATAAGAAATATGTCAAATTTTCAAACTTTTTTTTTTGTAATTTTTAACAGTCGTTCTATTTAAAAAAAAATATTATTTGACTATGATATCATGTTTTGACCCTTTTGACCTAAATGATTTAATTGCTTACCCACCACCAAGGGTGAAGAATGGTTTTATTTTTTGGTCGATTTTAAAAAACATGGATTTTATATTATTGAAAGCAATGTTTAGAGAATTGGACCAAGCATAGAACCGGATAAGTGAGAGGTTCACGTGTCTAAGGTTTGACCAGTGTCAGCTAGACGGTCAACCGGTTTTTAGTGAGTTTTGAGCAAGTCTGGTTACTGGGGTATGATCGAACCGGTCAGATTCGACTCACGGTTCAACCAACCGGTCTTATCTGATTTTTAAACATTGGTTGAAAGTATTTGATATAAATCTACTTGACATAAGTTAGTAGCGAAAATAATAGCTTAAATATAGATTTCAATGAGAGAGAATGGAATTTTAGTCAAGACATGATTCAATAAGCAAGATAAGAGGTTAATACATTAAATATAAAACTTAATGAGAGGGAATTAAATGATATAAATTGCAATTTTTAATTAGAGAGAAAGAGAGACCAAAATCGGGATATTTTAATCATACAAAAGTTTTAAACTATAATTTGTTCTTTTAATAATACTTTAGGCCGTGTTTGGTTGCAATGTGAATTTATTTGCATTGATACAAAATCATAGTAGTGCAAATTATAATTTACTTTTATTTAAAAAATCACCTTATTTTGTTTCATTGCAATACAAATGAAGTAAAATAAGATCCGAAACAGAATAAAGTAAAATCCAAAACAAAATTAAACCAAAACTTCCATTATTTTTATTTGCACTCCCATACATTTGTTCTAATACAAATAAAATTGCACTGCTATCAAACACAATCTTTTATAATATAATATAAATATAGATTGATGACAAGTTGAGAATCACCTTCGATGATTACACTTCTAAACTTAACCGAAAAGCTAGTTTATGCCTCGACGAGCTTTCAGGGCAGCACGGGCTTTTTGCCAAGTTGATTTCCTTGAAAAGTAGACTCCTCCTTCACTGTTTCTAGCCAGAAGCCCAAGCAGACTGTAGACCTACCTATTCATGGGCCGGGCTCGGGTTGGGCTTTTGCCACGCTGCCTTCCTGCCCCCAGTCATAGACCCGTCACCCTACCAATTGAGCCACCAGTCACGGACTAAAATCCCGTAATTTGCCCCTCCCAACGGGGTGTTGATATTTGTCCACGGGTATCGTCGAAGTTGGGTGATTTGGTAAACACATTTTTTTCCCTTCACGCGCGTACTGGTAGCATCGGCAATTCGAGACTCCCTGTCCCTTTCTTCTCTGGTTCGTTGGTAAATCTTCCTCTTTTACTTACTGCGTTTCCTTCTCTCTCCTCTCCTCTCATCTCCTCTCCCCGGCGAGCAATCGTATTCTATAGTCATATTTTCACTCTTTTAATAGTATTCAAAACCCTAGGAAGAGCAGGAGAAGATGTTAAGAGTTGCAGGGAGGAGACTCTCGTCTCTGTACTGGCGTCCCAATCAGACCGCGTCGGTCATCCTTACTAGGAACCTAATCAACGGCGACGCAGCTGCTTCTGATAACTCCAAGTCATCGATCTGCTCTAACTATGGATTCCCTTCCACATCGGTTTTCCGCGATCCCATCAGAGGTTAGAGTTTCCTCTTGCCTTTATTTTAGTTTCATCTGCATATGCAGATTTAGGTTTTCATTTTGTTTCGTTGATGCTTCTTTTATTGCCTTGTTTCGAGAGTTCCTGTTTCGCTTCCTTCGATTAGTGAGATTTTAATCTGCTATATTATCTTCAGATGAAAATTTTGAGTTCTCCATTTGAAGGTGGTTTTGTTGTTATGACCTTGCCTTTGTTTCTGTTTGCCTTATGTCGTCTTTTATTTTGATTTTTTCCCCTTAGTTAGAAAATTGCACCATTTTAGAGTCTCGCCCTTTATTTATTTATTTATTTATTTATTTATTTTGATTTAGTGAGATCGTATGTTGAAGGCGAAAAGGAATGGATTTTTCACTCGTTCAAAAAGGACATATTTTGGAGCTAAAATAAGAGGGAAATCTTTCATTTGGGTTGTTAGAGTTTTGGAAATTAAAATAGATAGGAAAGAAAAAAAGAAGCTACTATTTTTCGTTTAATCTTTATGAATTCCAACGTTTAAGACATCAGCTTGGGTTTAGTCCTCGCAGATCATTCAATTGATGGTAAACTTGTCTTTAAGTTAACGTCTTCCAATTGCGCATGGTGGGTAGAGGGGGTGATCGGAGGATTCGTGAAAATACCAAAGACAAAGGTTCCATAGTCGATTGTCCTGCGTATGATTTTGGGTTCCAGCCGGGTTATCTGGATATTATCTCAAACCACGTGATTGGTTAACTGTTTCAATTAGATGCGGCGTTTTTTTTTTTTTAATTTTGCTTCGTCAAAACTCGTCTGTTTTTTTTTTTTTGACGTGACATTGCATGCATATAACCTGCGCCACTTCATTTTTGGTCAATTGTATATTAACTTATTTGAAGTTACATTGCATCCATATAACCTGCACTACGTTTTTCTTTGTCGATTGTTTATTAATTTGTCTGACAAAGAAGACTAGCATGGCCTTTTACAAGAATCTGTTGAAGCAGGATTTTGAGTTATTGATCAGTGGAAGATGTTATGAATCATACATTGGATATAGGTTCAATGCAGTATAAAAGGGCCATTATATTGGATCACGTGGTTTAGGAAATACCCTTCTAGGATGCCATATTCCTATTTGATTTATTGTCTTTGATGACTCTAATGTACCGGAACTGATATATTACAATAGGTGGATTAAAACCTGATATATAATGGTATTGTCATAAATGCTTTATCATGTATGGCAATGCATACGTCTATACCAATGTAATGGTCAACATCCTTCTCAATTTAGGGATGGGCACTTGGGCAGATTGTTAAGGAAATGGATTTTGTGTCTTCTTAAACACATTTGTGTGAGGACCTCCTTGATTTTCACAGTTTTGGTTATTAGGGTAGTGATGGGGGATTGAATGGGGCAAACAGATAATAGTGATGAGCCAATTAGAACATTGAATGTAGTCTTCTGATAGTTGGAGAAAAAATGATTATGTTGATTTTACTCTGAATTTTCCAGGATAATTTCCTTCTACATGGGTTCCTGTAGACAATGTTCTTGCAGTTATTTTCTAGCATGTGGAAGTTGATCTTGCCCTTCATTTGGTTCCTTTTTTTCCTTTTCACCCACAAAGCCTCCGTAGAGTCATGTGTTTTCTTATTAGAATGTAATAGATAACAGAAAGAGAGGCAATGTTGCTCGGGATACTGGTTGAACAAAAAGGAATTCAATTCTTTTGTCACTGCCATGTATCATTTACTACTCAAGATGTTGAACTTGTCTGATGTGTTTTCTTTGAGCATGGATCTGCTGCTGAAGCTTCTGCATAACATGATTGGATTAGGATAAATTAGGCATCTCTGGGGGCATTTGGGCCAATACTCCTAATCTCCTATAGACATTGATTATAAACATGCTCCAGAGATCCCATGTCAGCCATTCATGACATTTCAGCATCATGTTTTGCTGCTGAAGCTTTAGTAGCAAACCTTTACTCTTATCCCTTAATTCATTGTGTGTAACGGTTCAAGTCTTGTTCCATTTATGTGGTTACTCATTCATTGAGTCAATTTTCATCTGTTCTGAGTGAAAACAAATGTGTTGTGCGCAGCTTTGCTATTTAGTGCTACCCCAGCACTCCTTCACTTGTGTTGTAGAACTCTTATTTGAGAGAATAGACTGTCATTTTGGAGAATAGTTTCCATCTGACTTATTTCACAGGCAAAACTCAAAACTGTCACGAAATATTAATTTTTTATAGATACTGTCATGAAATATCAATTTAACTAGAAATGTTGTAGAAGTAGAGATTTTTCTTGAATTGTTATCCCATGTATTTTCCTCGATAGTACGATGAAATATTTGTTCTCCACTGCTTATTAATCTTCTATTCCCTTTTTAGTGACATGCTTCTTAACCATGCTTTAATGAATATCCAACATGGGTTACTTCTAAGCAATGTTTTGAAAATCGTAATCGTATCGTAAATTGTAGAGAAAGTTGAATCGAATTGAATTGTGAATCATATCGTAAATCGTAAGATTATTTATATTTTTTATATACTTGTCAAAAAATTAGCTATAGATATATTAAAAGGACAAATATATATAGGAAAGTGACTTTCCCTTATTTTTAATCTATATATACCATATATGTACCTAAAATAATAGAACTTACCACTTATATAATAGAAACCTGAGATGATATAGTCAAGTTTGACTTGAAAATCAAATAAATCCACATATAATGGCTCGTTAACCTAGATATTAACAAAAACTCAATTTCTAGTCTTAAAAAGAAACCCCTTGACAAAACTAGATATTTACTAAAACAAAACAAAGTAGAGAACTAATTCTTAATCAATTTATTTGAATAGTAGTGAATCGTAAGATTTATGAATCAAATCGTAGGATTCAAACAAAAGTCGTAAGATTTTTGCAAAGGAGGATTCGGACATAAGATTTGAATCGAAACCCTTGGGGTTCATGGTTCAATTCGTGAATCATATCGTAAATCGTAAGATTTTGACAACATTGCTTCTAAGTTCAAGGGTCTGTGTGGATGCTTATCATTATCATCATCCAAGCCTTCTACAACGAAGTAAAATTTGTGTTAACTCCCAAGAAGGGAAAATAGGTAAAACATGCAAATTCACTCTAATTGGAATGTACATGTGTATATGCGTGTAAAATTTACATGCTTGTTCAATGGCAGCACGCTTAAGAGGTGGCTAGATATAATATTGAGTAAAATTATATGTAACTTATATACATGTATATCCAATGGCATACTTTCATAAAGTTAAGTATTTTATGGTATTCCCAGAACAATTCTTTTTCATTAACCTTTAAGAGAAGATAACCCCAAATGGAACAGAATGGAATGGCAAAAAAGGATTCATGTAGACATATCATGAAAAAAAAAGAAAAGGATCCATGTAGACATATCATGAAAAAAAAAGAAAAGGATTCATGTAGCCGACCCCATATAGTTGGGACAAGGCTTAGATGATGATGGACCCTAAACTGCATTTCTACAATATCACTTATAGCGCAAAATCTATGGTGCATTCCATGGAAATTGCTACAACATAACTTAAATGTTAATGAACCAGTGATAAAAGCAATACGTCACATTAACATCTTTAGCATTGTTAAAGTCTTTAATGATAAGAACATCTTGTGAAATGTGAACCAATGAAAAGTAGACCATGTTATGTCTATAATGTGATTGGTTGAAGTTTGATGTAACATTCTGTAAAAATCCTGAAATGAACCATGATTGGACCCTTTTACAGAGCTAATTCTAAGATTGGCAGTATCTATTCTCATTACCCTTTGTAACAATCTCCCAGCCCTGGTTACCTCCTTGACAGCCTTCTATGTGTCAAGGTTAGAGCTAAAAGGTAAATGTTCATTCAAACTTTTGAGTCTGAGGTTTTTTTTTTTTTTTTCGATTGATAATAAAAAAGCAAAGTTCAATGTAAAGATTCCTAATCAGAGCTTAACAAAGTGTGCCAATGATTAGAATACTGGTTTATATTTGGTGGAAGAAAAGCATTATTGAATTTTATGTCTGTTTTAAGTGCATATAAGACCATCTACTGTACCTGTAAGAAGCGATTGCTGCAAGTTGAAGGGGGCTAGAAAGGCTAGGGGCAGATGAAAAAGGACGTGGGTTGAAATAGTAAGATATGGTTTAAGCACTCATAATTTAATATGGGTATAACACAGCATGGATTGGTGAAACAGGATTCATGTAGCTCCATATAGTTGGACAAGGTTTTGATAATGATAATGATGATGGTGATCTATATGATGTGATGTTGAGAAAAAGATTTATGTTTTTGGTGAGGGAGGTATTGGGCATGTCAAACTTGATAATGCCATACAGTAATTTAGTATCTGATTTCTGATTTAAGTCTTTTGTCTAATAATTGATGTAATATGCAATTTTTTGTTATATGGATGCTAACTTTTGGGGTTTGAGTGTATGTTGTTTGTGATCAAGTATTTAATATCATGGATTTGACTTAGATCAGAATTGTAAAAACTATATAAATTTTGGATTTTAGGTAACTAAAATAGGAATTTGAAATATAATTACAACTTACCAAAAAAATTGTGAAGTATAAATCCAGCCTTCACAAGTTGAAAGGGAAATTTGAATTCCTGTAAAAACCTATCGAAAAAAATCTTATAAAGGGAAATTTTCTTTTCCGTGGAAAGGTTGGGAAGAAGAGAAGGAAATTCATCTAGTCAATTGTGAGCAAGTGTGCCTCCCAATAGAGGAAGGTGGACTGGGTATTAGGAAGTTGAAGTTGTTCAACTCTGCCCTTCTCAGCAAGTGGATCTGGAAATTTGCCTCAGAAAGAACAGCTTGGTGGAGGAATCTATTAGCTGCAAAGTTTGGGGTGGAGTAGGGTAATTGGAGGTCTTGTGATCCCCCTTCAAACTGGGGCTTCTCCTTGTTGAAGGGCATAATGAAAAACCTTCCTATTGTCTTGGAAGGAGTAAACTTTAAGGTGGGTAAAGGTGACAATTAATTTTTGGAAGGACCCTTGGTGTTGGAGAGTCCCTTGGCTGAGGCATTCCCCCTCCTGTTCCAATGTGCTGCTAATCATGATGCCTCGGTGGCCGATTCCTACACTGTTTCTGAAAATGGGATGATTTGGACCCCTCAATTTAGACGAAACCTGTTTGACTAGGAAGTGGATGAGATTGTGGAGTTGTTGGAGGTGTTACAGGGCAGGGGATAGATATTAACTTGGAGAACGAGTGGAGCTGGAAGTGTGAATGGTGATGGCTGTTTCTCAGTCAATCTTTGGCCCTCAAGCTTAGCAGTTCAGGTCTTATGAGCTTCCCTTTCAGTCAGATCTGGAATCTGATCAGTCATTCCAAATCTAATTTCCTAGTTTGGACAATGACTCTAGATAAGTGCCTTCTAGATCTAATTTGGAAAGAAGAGGTGTTCAGCTTCTGGGTATTTCTTGTGGGTTTTGTGGGTCTCAGACGGAATCTACAAATCACCTTTGTCTACACTGTCCAATCTCCTCTCAGGTGAACACTTCCTGAAAGCTGTGGGAATCTGCTGGGTTATGCTGAGTACTGTTAAAGACTTGTTGTGCTGTTGGAAGGTTGGGAGCCTCAAGAAGAAAGGAAAGTTGCTGTGGAATTCTATTCCACCAGCTGTTCTCTGGTCCATCTGGTCTGAAAGAAACAACAGAATCTTCTATAACAATAAAAGCACAAATGAGTTAAGTGCAAAGGGTGGTGAGCAAGCTGATCTCTTGGGGTTCTGCTAACCCTGAATTTAAGCACCTGAATGTGCCTCAGCTGCTCAGATCTCAGTCCCTAACTCCCTATGGAGTCTGTAATTTGAGTTGATCTCTGTGGAGTCTGTAATCTGATATATTTCTGGGCCAGTCCTCTTCTGGCGAGGGCCCTGTTGTATCTGTTCTTTTGTTTCAATAAAATTACCTTACCTTTCAAAAAAAAAAAAAAATCCTATAAAAAGAAGTTGAAAGGAAAACCTGAAAGCTTTGTGAATTAGCTGAGAATTGTCCTCACAGTTACTGGTGAATGATGACTCTATTAGTAGACCATTGATTTCTTTCAATTAATTGTACAGATCCCCATTGATTTTTCTTCCTTGAACAGGAGTTGAAATTTGCTGCAAGCAGTATATCAAATAATATTACCGATTTATGTGAGGATACATTTTTTTGTTACCCCTTATTGTAAAAGAATGTTTATCAATTATTGCCGTGAGTTTGCAACTTTGTAGGATATCTTGACTTTGTTGCCTCTGGGAAAATAAGTATATAAAGGGTTGTACATTTGGACATCTTCAGAGAGTGTTATTGATTTCCATGAGTAGGCATTGGATGTGAATCCAATACCATGGTTCATAGTATTGGACATATCGCATTGTATCTTAAGCTCACCAGAACACTAAATACAGTGAGTTAGGAGTCTTAGGACATCTGGCCACTTCTAAAGGAAAATACTCTTCCTGTAGATGTCCTGATTCATTTCCTGATTTTTTTAGCAAAGTGTTTCGGCCATTTGAAACATATGATACATAATTTTTGCATATCGGGCATATTGATACTTTGAACCTTTTTCAATACAAATAGTCCTTGTCTGGTCTTGTGCTTTAGGATTCTTGCAGTCTCTCTGATGTTTTCTAGCTAATAATATGTTGTTGCATTCTGGTGGCGATGTTATTAATCTTTGGAGAGTCGAACTCCAGACCTTGGATCAAATCTTGCCTTAACCTTGCCACCTACTAACTGTTTACCGTTTAACTTATTGACAAAAAAGGGTCATTGGAATGTGGTAGAGAGTGTTGCCACTGGTGACGTACATGCAGTATGTGATAGAGAGTGTTGTTTGATAAATGGTTGTTTTATATTGCCAGGGTTTGCCACTGGTAACGTACAGGTAGTATGTGATAGAGAGTGTTGTTTGTCTAATGGCTTTCTGATAGTTATTTTATATGGCAGGGTTTGCTTCTGAATCACTTGCCCCACGGCATGACTATGGAATCATATCAGACATTCCTGCAACTGTAGCTGCTGTGAAGAACCCAACTTCAAAGATTGTGTATGATGAACACAATCACGAGCGCTTCCCTCCAGGTGACCCTAGCAAGCGGGCATTTGCCTACTTTGTCTTGACGGGTGGGAGGTTTGTGTATGCCTCACTCATCCGACTCCTCGTTCTCAAATTTGTGCTGAGTATGTCCGCCAGCAAGGATGTTCTTGCACTTGCCTCCCTTGAGGTTGATCTCTCCAGCATTGAGCCAGGGACCACTGTGACTGTCAAGTGGCGGGGAAAGCCAGTTTTTATCAGGCGCCGGACTGAGGAGGATATAAAGCTTGCCAACAGCGTTGATGTGGGATCCCTGCGGGACCCACAGGAGGATGCTGCCAGGGTTAAGAATCCGGAATGGCTGGTCGTCATTGGTGTCTGCACTCATCTGGGTTGCATCCCATTGCCTAATGCTGGGGACTTTGGCGGGTGGTTTTGTCCTTGCCATGGGTCTCACTATGATATCTCGGGCAGGATACGAAAGGGCCCGGCACCATACAACTTGGAGGTGCCCACTTACAGCTTCTTGGAGGGAAATAAATTGTTGGTTGGCTGAGGATTGATGACTATCCATCCCATCCTACTAGGGTGTGGGATAATTGGAACTTTGATTTTACCTTGGGCCTTTGGGTGGNGGGGGGGTCCTTTTTTTCAAGGCAGCCCCGCTTTTACCTTGCTGTTGCTGGTCTTGTTTAATACATTTTACATAACCTGGATCATTTACCTGCTGATTGAGTTGGTCTGGTTTTGAGTTCTGAATAATGTTGCTAGCCTTTAATGGGCGTATGTGCGCTTATGATTTTTGGAGGCTATTTTGTTCAATAACTCAGGAAAGTATACTGTATTTTATTCCCGTTTCTATCTTATTACATATTATGCATATCTAATACATGGTAGCAACTGTGGGGGTACTTTATTATCTCATGCTGTTGAATTTGGAGACGAGTGCAGCTTTGTCACTTGTGATGAGGCCGAGGGTCTTACTTGCGAACCGTCAAAAGACATGAGAGTCAAATTAATTATAAAAAAAGAATTTTATGTCTTAAATGATATAGGTTGAATTCAATCTTTTTTTTTCCGACAATAAAAGTAAGGGGCTACATAAGACGTGGGGTAGCACGTCCCCACAAACACTATAACAAATAAACGCCAACGGCCAAGGCAACTTACAAAGATTTAGAGATACACAGATATCATCCGGCAACTGGGTTTCATGAGCATGATGAGCCAGCCAATTCACAGTCTGATTTGCTTCTTGGTAAACATGCTTGTAGATGATCCCCTTTCCATTGTTCTTCTTGAGCTCACAGCAGTCTTGAATGATATTCCTTAGGTTCCACGTGCATGGACTGGATTTGTTAAGACAGGGAATCGCAATATTGGAATCACCCTCAATTATGATAGGAAAGTTTGTGAAATTTAAAGCTAAATTATGGACTTCCCAGGCAGCCCAAGTTTCCGCCCTATTGATGGAGGTAAACCCAATTTATAAGCTTTAAAATCCAAAATTGCACCCAAGTGATTCCTAGGCAAGAGCCGCAATGGTGCACATACCGTCCTCCATCTGAGATGCATCAAAATTAATTTTAATCTCACCAGAATCCGGGGAATTCCACCTTATGTATTTATAGTCTTTGGTTAAACCATCCCCATTAGGCTTATTTGAACATTCTTGAAATTCCATAAGCGAGTTGAGGACCTTTTCAATGATCTTAAAATGAGGAGTTGAAAGATTTTTATAAACCTTCAAATTTCTGCTCTTCCACATACTATAACAGGAAAATACATTTTTCCTTTTGCCAATAAGCAACAAATTCTTTGAAAGGTCCAGCCACCAATCTTTTAAGGATCTATCTTGATCATTGTTTGATGCCTATCAAAGTATGCATTTATTGTATTTATATTTTATTATAATTATTTGAAATTTAGGTTTAGTATTATTAATGTATTTGTGGGATGCATAAGAGTTTAACTAATATATCCAAACTTACACAAATCATTCCACTACATCCATGTATTAAACCTTGGTCAGCACTCAGAAGATGCATACATACAGATGGCTTATCGTGATGCAATGCATGCTGAATCACTAAAAAGGTTAGATTAGTCAGCCAGAAAAAAACTGAAAAATCGAACGAACTGATAAAATTGAACTAAAAATTACAAGTCAACTGAACCGACCACTATACGTATATTTATATATGTATTATATTATAAATATATACTTATAATATATAATATATTATTTATTATTTATAATGTGATATTTTATATTTATTATATAAAATACTATGAAAATTGAAAAACCGATAAATCAAACCGATGATTAACTGAATTGATTGACCGGTTAACCGATTGGCTTCTATTCAGTTTCAAATAACCGGTACCACCAGTTCTGTTTGAAAAAAAGGCACACGTACCTAACGGTTAGCACCCCTACTCGGCAAATATCTTGGTTTTCTAAGGTCATAATCGAGTTTACGTATTGAAATGCATTCCGATTTTTATTGTTCTTCTATCTTTGTAATTCCTTGACCACCTATAAATAGTCCAGACTTTGTATTCGTAAATACCCACCTACATACATGAATCATGGGTATGTAGTCCGTAAATCACATATACAGCAGGATCTCATCTACAAAAGATGCAAGTAAATTTCGAGGTCATCTTCTAATTGCTTTTTTCTGATACATGCGTTTCATTTTGTTCATGGTTTTCAAAATCGGACTGGATCGGAAAAAATGGGTTCCCGTTTCATTTAAAACTGTTTTTTTTTTCAAAACTGTTGATTTTGGTCAGTAAACCACTGAATTGGTTAACTGTTCGAACCATTCAAACGGTTTTGACCGTTTTTCAATTTTTTTTATTTTTTTATCAGAACAGGTCGGCCGTTCGGGTTAAACGGTCAGATAATTCAAACCGATAACCGGACCCTGACTGATTCGTTTTTAAAAACCATGATTTCGTTAGTGAATGAGATGGCTGTCGCTACTTTGTTATTCATTGATTTGCAAAATACATGGCTTGAGAAAATGAGGAATTCTCATGGTGGTACACATAATATTATCAAAAGGGTTAACATGGTTATCAGCTCTCAACTATTCTGCAAACAAATTCCATGATAGCATTAAGATTTGTGTTGCAGAAGGCTACATTGCTAATTAAACGCAGATGTTCACCTGGACGGAGAAGTTTTGTGCATTTTGTTGAAGTTGGAAATCCAGGAACCGACACTTTTTTGGTGGGCTTTGTAAATCTGATGGTCATTCAACGTTTTCAAATTCAACTGAATCCACAGACGTAAAGTTTATTTTTTGGGAGGTGCTAGTTAGGGACATCACTTGGGAGTTGGGGCAAGTCTAACAGCTAATATCTAAATCACAGCTGAAATTTCAGGCACCCCAAGGCTCAAGTTGTACTTGTGCCTCATTAAACTGGTGCGCCTCACTATTGGCCTATCAACTTTCTCTCCCTCCTATATTTGCCAAATATTTGGGGACACCGATGACTTGTAGATGACTTAGCTGACTCGGCACATTCACATGTTTTCTTGGAAACCATTGATTGCATGTGGGCATTGGGATTTGGGCCCATTTGCTTTTCGGAATGTTATTTGGGTAAATGTAATTATCCGAGTAAGTATTTATTGGAAAATACTTATTTGAGTATTTGTATTTACCCATGTTTTTCAAACTGTCATTGACCTAGACAGTTCGACCGTTTGGCCTGCGAACTGTTCAGGCAACCGGTTTCATTTTACCCCAAGTCCAATCTCTGGCTAAAAACCGTTGAATTGGTCATTGGCCCAAGCAGCCGGACCGTTGACCTATTTGATGGTTTTGGCTGTTTTTTTATTTTAATTACTGTTTTTTTTTGTCAGAACGGGCCTATTCAAATCGGAAGGTCAAATTGTCGACCTAGAAACCTGTTGCTAGAACAATTCCGGTTCTAGGTCATTTTTGAAAACATTGATTGACAGCTTTCTGCCTAGGTGAAAAAGTTACTTATCCATGTAGGAGATGGGTATCACTTGCCCGATACACCCAAGGAAAATAATTTTTCTATAAACCCCACATAAATCTAAAAAAAAAAAAACATGAATATCTTGATCAATAAAAACCAAAATCCCATTAATCAACTTCCCCCCCTAAAATCCCAAAAAAGAACAGGCCCTTAGGGTAAGAAGGCTGACCCTCCAACCAAACCGACTTGAAATTTTTTACCCATTTTTCTGTTTGGCTGTCTGGGGGAGCTCTCATTTTATGGTTGATCATGCGCCCTGGTGTGGGGTCAACCAATGTTTGAGTTGCCATCTAACGACGGGAGCAACATGGCCGAGTTATCCACCAAACCAAATATTTTGGATTGCGATCCCAAGGATAACGAACATGGGATATGCAGCAATCTTATCGATTCAAAAACTCCACTGTTTATTAAATCCATCTCTAAATGATATCTCTACGCCTCCATCTGGTTAAAGCGAATGCCATGGATCCTTAACATTGGACTAAATATATATAACTTTTGAATAACATTACAATGAAACATTGTAGTGTATCCCAATCAGCTAGGCAGTGACAGACCTATATTGTGGCTCAGCAGGAAAAATAAATATAGTTGTACATTAGATAAAAAAAATAAAAAAAAAATGAATTTAAGGCTGTATTTGGAAACAATACAAATGAAGTGTAAATCCCGGTTCAGGGTACATTTGCACTTTGGTTCACTTTTACCTATGTTTGGCAATATTACATTTATGCATTGACAAGTGACAGACCAATGCATATTTACATTGATAATAAGATATAAAAATACATCAATAAAAAAAAGTAAATTTGCATTCAAGTGAGCTTTCGATAAAAAAAAAAAGCATATGCTTTATTGGAATTCATGTTTGCATCCATTACAGCTAAAAGTCTGTTTGGTAAGAAGATAAATTTGTCGGTGCAAAACTAACCCAATTTTGAAATTTATATGAACCATTTTACACTCTACATATTTGCATTGTTTCCAAACGTAGCCTAAGGAGGAAATAAGCGTGGAATACAGCCTCGAGGTAATCGATACAGAGAAGAAAAGTTTTCACCGGGCAATTCTGTCATTTAGCTTTCTTGTATTGGAACCAATGGCAGTTTACCTCCGTATATCTCTGGGAGCTGGTTCTCATCAATATCTTCAAGCAGAGTTGATTTTAGCTTCTTGCTTTCAATAAATACTATCTGCAACATGAAATCTTAAAAGTATAAGCAAATGTAAGAGGAATGCGATACGAGGCTATTAGTGGTGCAAGTCGAGTCGGGAAGGTTCATAGTATTGATACGATATGCTTTGCATCGTATTGGTTTTCAGGGCCACTAGTATGCCTAGTATAAAGATTTACAAAATTTCAACTTTTTAAAACAGTAATATATGGCAGATTTACAAGACTTCAACTTTTTAATGAACCAAAATTCTCGATGATCAAGGTTCAAAATATCATACACGATACACCAAAATTGTGTATGGTGCATTTTAAATGGTGGGTACTCTTTATTTTTATTTTTCAGTTTGATATTTTACAGATAGGTTTCTTAGGATGAACATTACCACTTCGAACTGTTAATATCCCCTAACTCTCAGTATTTCACATTCCTGTGACCTTCAATACCAATATGATATACACGATAGCTTGCGATACATATTGATACTTTGAACCTTGATTCCCATATTGAATAATACAATTAATTACCTAGGATCAAGCATTCATAATGAGGGAGAAATTAAAGAGGATGTTGCTTATACAATTATAGCAGGCTGGTTAAAGTTTGACAGGTGCATCTGGTTTGTTCTTTGCTTGCCATCATATCAATGAAGCAGAGGAATATTTTATATGACTGCTATAAAGTTAGCAATGTTTCATGTAACAAAGTGATGGTTGATCAAAATAAGAGAAACTAGGATGCTAAGGTGGATGAGTGGAAGAAGGCTCTAAAAGAGAAAAGGTGACTGGTGCAAGTAGGAGGCTCTAAAAGAGCAAAAGGCCAAAGAACACTAAGCTCAAGTAATATGAAATGATTTTAAGGACTAACAATTAAAACTTTTGATCGAGTTGAGGTTTAGCAAGTTTGATTTGCATGACATCCATGGAAGCTGAATGTTTCAACCTGATTGAATAGGTTGTTCCACGCAGGACTGAAATATTACAAAAATAATTAAAAGTAGAATGATGTTCAGACATCGCTTTTTCCCCCTTCTTCACACATATGAAATATTAAAAACCTTCTTATGTTTCCTCATAAAACCCTCTTATGTCTTAATTTTCTCTATTAAAAATCGTTCTTAATTCTCTCCCACCCCTCTCTCTTCAATAGTCAATGTTTATAACATTTCCCCTCACCCATTAAATCCCTTATTTCCTATTAAATATCTTTGAAACTCTGTTAACCCTGTCTAATAAAACATGGGTATGAATTAGATGGGTTGGGTGGGGTTAAGGGACAACCCTAGACCATAAGACCAACCTTGAACAAGGACCTTGGCCTGGAAGAAAACTGATGCCAAACCTAAATTTCCCAACCCAAAGCTATCCAAATTTCTGTTCAATCCCATGCATTTACATGGGTTTGCTTACTTTAGTACAAGATGAGAACAACGTATTTTTTTTAAGCTAATTGGTCAGTCACAGGTAGCTTGGTAATAAAGGCAAGTTTTGATCCCAGGAATGGGGTTTGGAAATTACCTTTTTCTTCGTGTTGTTGTCAATAAATGGGTAAATCATCTTCCATGCCTTCAAAAATAAGTAGGGCACATTTACTATACACAACTTGCCAAGCCTTTCTGGGTAGCAATCCTGCCATTGCAACAGAATTGAACTACATATTAGTAGATTTATATAATTGTATAGGTCTGCTGCAAACTTGAATTCTGTTAGTGTGTAGCATTGCAGCTGCAATAATTACATGCCTTCATAAAGAGCAAATGCATGTTTCTGCTAGCCAGGCATTACAAAAAAGAGTATCCACAGTCTGGAATTCAGAAGAAAAGTTGTGTGTTGGAGAGTTAACCTGCAAGATTGATAGAGCTGCTAGGTATCCACGGATATCGCAGTTTGAGTATCCCCATCCTTCAATATCTGCAATGCTGAGGAATTTTTCCTCTCCCTGTGGCATCCTGCAATAAAAAGGCAATTAGATAATACTAATAAAAAAAATACACAGAGAAGACTACAAAACCTGGTCATTCTTTTGCTGTAGTCTATATCTAGAATGACATAGGAAAGAAGAAAATATAATGAAGAATAAATTACCTTGAACATATTTTGTCCAGAGTGTAGACTGCAAAACCTGAAATAAAAAGAGGTTACTGATTTAGTTGAGGTTCAATTGTTCAAATCTTAATCTACTTTTCATGTCAACACCATTTATTTTGTGATTGGCACTTAAAAATTTATGCTAACTGTGGGAAATGCCACTGGGACTAGGCTTTATGTTTTTTGGAAATCAAATGGGTGACTCAAAGTTGACTCTTGGATCTATCTTAAAAGAACCTCAGAAATCTATGTAACAACATACGCTTCAACTCCTCTAAACCCCCTTTGGTCTGGAAATGTCTGGCACCAAAGGCAACTACTATTGGGCGCCCCTTCTTGTCCAATCCTTGCATAAAAGCTTTATTCTGAGCCAGTTGTTTTGTGATTTCTGACTCAGAAATGAAACCATTAGGGACAAATGTTCGTCTCCATTTCAGGTACTTGAGGAATAGGGCAGAGGCCTTTTCAATGTCTAGATCACGAGCACGCAGAAACCTTCTAATCATCAAATCATCCACTTCCTGCATAGAATGTCAGAGTTTACGAAATAGTAATGATGCAAGTTGAGAAGTAAGTACAAATAAAGCAGGAAAATCCAACACAACCACTGGAAAGATCAAAATGACATAACACAACAGACTGTTGGACATCAGACAAACAAGGACCCCCCCCCCCCCCATTTTCAGAGACCAAAGATCCGTCTCAGGAGTCTATACGCCATTTACTCAAGAATATGAAAAAGAAGATGAATAAAAACATAACAGACAGAAACAATTATCTATTACCATAACCAAACCAGAGCACAATATACCTTCAGAAAAGGAAAATAAATCGCAAAACTAGAGCAAAACGAACACACGAGAAAACATGGGGGTGAATAAGAGAAAGAAACCACAAACCAAATTAATCCATCAAATCTATAACTTGGTGCAATTAAAGTTCCCTCATTAAGATAACACACACACACAAAGGAAACTGAAGGGCGAAAAAAGAAAAATAAAAAGGAAAAAAAAAAGAGCAGGAATAACCAATAACATTCGTAACGACAGTTTATAATACTAAAAGATTTAGGAGTTCTTGAATTGGAGTAAAAAGGTAATGATTAACAGAGGGCAGCTTTCCACCAAAAAAAAGAAACAGAGGGCAGCGAAGAATGAATACTAATTTGAAGAAGAAAGCGGAAATATTGCACACGGGAAACAAAAAAGTGAAAAAAAAAAGCACTTCCAAGATTACAATGCAAATGCACACACAGAAAAAACAAGAAACCTATAAAGATGAATAATACGGAAGAAAAACTAAACAGGCAAAAATAGAAAAGTTCACAACATTTTGGATGAAGTAGAAAAAAGAAGACCTTTGCACTGGGATCCTGTGTTTCAACAAAAACTCGCATAATACCCACTTTGTTCCGCTCTATCATCTCATTGTTTCTCTTGCCATCATCTCGATCTTTTGAATCTACTGCGTCTTTGGAATCCATTCTTGAAGAATCTAAACAAATTCCTTGCTCATCCAGAAATGTAGTACCTTCGGCAGAAACTATAAAGCAGCCCAGCTACTTCCAAGTTTCAACAATCCAATTTTTGAAGGAACAGAGAGAGAGAGAGAGAGAGGAGCCAAAAACGACTTAACGACTTTAATAAGAGAAAGCCAGCTCGAGGAATGAGGACGGACTCTAGTACAGCAGTAGCTGCAATGGAAGCTTCAGCATTCAATACTAACCCACGTGCCGTTACTTGTCGCCTGTCAACCAAAGTGTTGCAAACCCAAACCCTCTGTTCATGAGAGAGAGAGAGAGAGAGAGAGAAATTATGGTTTCATCCACCGACTACTTCTCTTACAAGTTTGTCTTGCTCCGCTGTGAACCCTCCAACCTCTTTGCCAAAGTTTACAATTCAGGGACAATCCTATGAGAAGAAGGGATTATGGTAATTCTGATAATCAACAAGGAATTATGTTTTATTCGTTAAATATAACAGTTTGAAATGTCAACATTAATAAGCTTTTAAAAAACAAGAGGTATATATTAGTAATTTTCTCAAATATTAGGATATTTTAGCAATTATTTTTATTTTGTTATTTGTGTGGTGCAAGGGTTTCAAAAAAAACACTGGTTTGGTTAACGATCTTTGACTTTTTAGAGATTGACGTTGACATATTTTGTTATTTTTATTATTTATTTATTAGGTGATGGGTGTAGTCGTCTCGTCGTCTCGTCGTGACCAGTGGAGTGGGACGAACCAAGTATTAATGCTCACACCTATTCTGTACGACTATCTCCGACCTGAGTTGCATATCTGCTACACGCAAGACGCTACAGCCGCACATCCGGAATCAATCCTTTACAACATGTAGGAAACGTATTCTGGATGAGCGGTAGATCCGGTGACCCGATGAGAAGTGACAAATGAGGAATAGTAAATATTAAAATATAACCCTAAACCCTCACATGGGCAGCACACGTAAAAGAATTGCTGAGAGTATATATCATATTGTAATCCTTGTTGTTGTTGCGCCATTCACCTATGACCTTATTATTATAATCTTTTGTGGATGTTTTGTTTTTATAAAAAGAGGAATGATGCTTGGTGTAAGCATCACTAAAATAAATGTTCATCTATGCCAATCTCGTTCCTTAAGCCATTCTTTCTTTGTGGATTTGATAGTTGACACACATATCTTTATCAAATATAATGCAAATACTTGTTTTGCGTTAAAAAATAAAACCACTTTTACCACTGGTTCTCAACGTAAACGGTTTGATCCTCCGGTCTAAATCTCAATTAAATGGTTTTGGAGTTTAAAACAGAATCTAAAGCCATGATCAATTCTCGAGTCAACTGGTTCAACCATCCAGTCCAATCCAATTTTTAAAATCATGCACTTGCCGCTCAATTACATCATCTAAAGCAAAGCAAAGACTTGGATCCTAAGACCCATAAAATATAAAACAGACAAGTACGAACAGGCTCGATACAATTTTTTTATTTTCATTATAAAATTATAAATATTTAAATAATCCACATTCTATACATCAATGCCAGTTTGTAACTGACACCTATCCCAACAGTATTTTAGTGGAGATATGAGGGTGAGACAAAAATGGATAGGCCCTACAATAGAGTTTGGTTATGGGTAGGCCTAAAATCAGATTGGGGAGCCAAGGCCCAAAACCCCTGAATTAATTTGGATTTGCTTGCGAACAACAGTCAAATGCAACGTTTACGCCCTTCTGATTGTGGATCTTCCGTCACTTGGCCGCCCTCAGTTGACGAAGCACACAGAAGCGTTGATTCTTGATATTTTAGGCTGTTCCTGGATAACATGTCTGTGCTGCGACCCCCTTTTTTTCCCTTTATTATTATTTTTTTTCAAACTGGGGGAAGGCATGAGTTCAGAGTGTTTGTAATTTATCCAAAAGAAAAAAAAAAAAAATGTGGACAAAGTTGACTTTGGTGGTTCGTGATTCCTGAATCCTGAGTATCTGGTTTTTTGGTTTTGAGAAGATCTCACACCAAAACAGTAAATCTTCGTTTGAGAGACTCTTATATCAAATCAAATTGTTTTATTACAAATTAATCTAATTTTTAATACGGTTTGAATCATTTTATTGGGGTGGAATTTATATTTATGATTTAATTTCTAAAATTCAAAAATCGAATCAAATTTGAAATAATCCCAACTCAAACAGAACTGTCAATTTCACTTTTGATTCGATTAAATAGTCTTAGACCGTATAATGAATACCTCTAATCATGATTAAAATTATAAATGTAGGATGTTAAAACAAAGTGAGGGAGAGAGAGAGGGCAGTGTTTAGTAGATAATAGAAATATGGGCCAGATGGTGAATGATGGGCCTGCCGACACTAAACAAGGTACGGATTCATAAATGAGCCTAGCTTAATTTGAAAGAAAAAGGAAGGGAAAAGGTAGAGGTTTCCTTACTTTTTTTTACCACCGTAGGGTGGTTACTGGTTAGGCATACATAACAAATACAATTCCTTCCTGCAATTACTCTCTCTTAAATATGTAACCGTAACCATCCATGGAGTTGTCTGCTACTCTCGGTCCCGGCACTGTGGGCTGAATCATAGATTCATCACCATTGTCCATTGTCATGGATGCTCTGGTAACTCTACTCTCATCACCATTGTCCATTATCACACAACTTTACAACATACAAATAAGAAACATCCTTGATATGTACTAACTTAGGGGTGAGCAAAAAAAATCAAAAAATCCAACCGATTAAAAGAATCGATCTAAACCGAATCGAAAAATCGATCGATTTGATATTTTTAAAAGCTGAAAGTATCGATTTGGTTTCGATTAACCAATCCAATATAGAAAATCAGCGATTAATCGAATCGATCGGTATACATATATTTTTATATATTTATGTATATTATATATTGTAACTTAATAAATATGCATTGTATATAAATGTATATTTATAATATATTATATATTATTTATTATTTAGAATATAATATTATATATATTTATAATTTTTTATTATATATTTATATAATATATATTGTAAAAACTAAAAAACCAAAAAACCAATGAACCGAACCAGTCAACTGATTAACCGACTGACTTCGGTTAGGTTCCAATTACCAATTTTCCAAAAACCGGTACTACCGGTTTGATTCCAAAATGCCCCATGGTTCGGTTAACCGAACCATGGGCACCCCTATGTACCATTGTGTATCAAGTTGGAAGTAGAGGTGTAAATCGGGTCGTATCGCGTCTGACACAATTTTGAGCTAGCCTGGTATGATGGTTCATGGGTTGTGCCAGGTTTGGGGTTTTAGGTTTGTGAGCCAGGCCAATACAATACGATTGAGCGGGTCGTGCCAAACTAGGGGTTTTAGGTCCATAGATTGAACCGGCATGACACGACCGAGCGGGCCATGCTGCTCGCGGCCCAGCCTGACTTGAGGCTTGGCCCATGGACCAGCCTAGCCTGTGGCCCAACATGGGCTCGGACTATGTCAAGCCAACCGTCCAAAATATCACAGGGGAGGAAAACATAGCTCAGGACAGCCTGCGGTCCACACGCGGGGCATACCGATCTGGCCCATCATAACCTGTTTTACAGTTTTAATTTGGAAGGTGTGTGGGTAGTGTTTTGTGAGTAATGGATCTAATTTCTATCTTCGCCGGACTTTGGAAACAATCGCAAGGATTTATTGTTTCCCTACGCCTAAAGGCAAGAGGTAATATGTCTACAGATTTGGTTGTAAGAACTTTCTGGACTGTGGGACGTCCCTGCACAAGTGCATTAGGTTGGACCGTTAAATTGTCTATTCGGGAAAGCCCTTTGGCTTGTATATTAGCCCTTAAAGTCACTGTAAAATGTGTTTGGTATCGTTGCCGTTACTATTTGAAATGTTTTGGATTGATGAATATATATTGGTATATATAATTGTTATTTAAGGTTATTTATGATTGAAATAAACATATCTTATACTATACACATGTGAGAGGTTGTTTCTAGAAACATGATCAAATTGGTAATTTTTAATTTAGAGGAATAAAGCCTGATCATTCTAACTGAAGTATATTAATTAACTCCAAATGCAAAAAAATAGAAACAATAATAGTATTAGACCTGTTCATAGGCCGGGTAGCCCGATGGCCTGGCCCGGCCTGACTCAACCTGCACTCCGGTCGGGCTTGGTCATGTAATTAGGTCCGCAGGCCTGACCTCGGGCCTAACACAGTAAGCCCGACTGTGTTTTGGGCTGGGCTTAGGATTTGTCAAAAAAGTCCGGCCCGGCCTGATTCAGCATTATATATTTTATAAAATATATAATATGTATTTTATATATTATATAAATAATATAACATTTATTAAAATATATATTTTATATTTATAATTTAATATATACATTTTTTATTCTTTTTTTTCTCTCTCTCTATTCAATCGCTTCAATAGTAGTAATAGTATGGACTAAATTTCGGGCTCGGGCCCAGGCCCAGGCTTCGGGCTTTTTATGAGGGCCAGGCTCGGGCCCAAGTTATAGGCCTGATGGTTGGGCTCAGGCCTTAGAAAAATCTATTAATACAGAGTAAAAGCCCGGCCCGGCCCAACCCATGAACAGGTCTAAATAATATCAAATACAACCTAAATTATAACTGAGACTCCTTTCACCACCCTGGGCTCGGTTCAACTTGATAGTGAGATCTGCGAATCCTGAGGCCCATCATTAATATACGATCTTACCCTCAACCCAACCCAACCCACCCTTACCTTTTTCTCCCAACACCCTTGTATGTGGATCTTGTGTTCTATTCTTCGATTCACGACAGAACCAGCACAATTATGAATTAATGAAGGGTCTTCATGCTGTAGAGCAAAGAGTTTAGTAAATTGAACAAACAACCAACACCTGTGTCGCATCTAACAACCTCTCTCAGGAGGACTATTTGAATAGCTTTTGATCGTCATCTCAATCTGACCGTTCTACTTGTTATCACTGCTTGATTTGATCAAGATGAAGCCATCATCAAATACCTCTTTCTTGTCCTATTTCTTAAACTAGAGAATGACCACCCACCACCCTGTGCTAAGTATTAGTACGGGGTTGATAGTAATATCAATTTTGTTTGATGCTCATTGTAAATTTAGGTTAGTCTTTTATTTGATATTCTTTTCTGAATATGAAGGAATCAAATTGGCCTATCATTCATTTGTTTTCATCAATATCCGGGATGCAAAATATGGCGTGTCAATATATCAAATTAAATCATCCATGATATGCCCATATCAATTTAAATT